TTTTTCATGTACAACATACTACTTGTTCATAATTACAAAGCATGTTCCATATAAGCATTCATCCATATTGGAATTCAAGCCCACATTATTACACATATGTCATAACAGAATTGCAGCACTTCCAAATTAGGAACTCCCAATGCTCTTGGGGCCCCTAGCATTTTGGCGGCCTACTTGTATCCATGTATAATTTAGTGCCACTCTCGCCTGCATAAATTCTGTTGTGTTTTTACATTTCTCTTCACTCTGATGAGCTGCCTTAGACAGCGAAACCGGTCAGTCCTTTAAAAAGATTTGTAAAACCGAAAAATATGTGTTCTGTGAAACAACTTGTGTCGGGGATGTTTCCCTCTTCAGAAATAATAATTCCGTGCTTGTGACATTTCAGCAAGAGAGATCTGTTGATACATGATTGCATGCAGCACAAACGTACCTGTAGTCAGTCACATCCATCCGGATTTGAACGGTGCTCGGTAGATGTGGCTGCTCGTCAGCCTGGGTAGTTTGGGCCGCCGCGCTCGCCAATCACAACAGTTTTTGCTTAGACCTAGGAGGACAATGGCGAGGACAAGCCCAGCACAGGCATCTCACCCTGGCTACCTGAATCAGGTTGATGCCCAGCAACTGGACCAGGACTTATTCAACGAGTGTGGCTATGGCCTAGACCAGCTGATGGAGTTGGCTGGTTTGAGCGTTGCTATAGGCTTAGCCAAGGTCTATCCTGTCAGGTGCAATGTATTGGTGTGCTGTGGGCCAGGCAACAATGGTGGAGATGGACTGGTTGCTGCTCGCCATCTCAAAGCCTTTGTGAGTGTTTTCTTTATTTTACCGTCCGGGAAACCTGGAACTCCCCCAATTTACACCCACTGCAGGCACTATACGCAACCACAGCAACTGACTGATTGCAGGAGTTGAGCATGGCTCAATATTTGCGATGCGGGCTGCGTTTAGGTACATGGCCGTTTTCAAACTGGTACAACCCGCCGCGAGCACAGATTGACTTGAGTGTTTCCATGACGCACCGCGCTTGACCCAGAGATCCCCTCCTGGGGGGGGGGGGGTTGAAAACTTGAAATTGAGAAAACGTATTTCGCGTCAGGTTTGCGCAGCATTGCACATGCGGCTTTCCCGCCAAAGTAGCCACTTTGCCAAACGGGTCTACACCACAGAAATTGACTTGTCGGCATATCAGTAATCGACCCGGGTCAACCTTTTTCAGGTACATGTATTAAAACAGCAACTAAACACCCACCTATTGTTTTAATTATACAGACTTTCATCCAGAGTTCAACTCAACCTGAGTTGAAAGTTATCATGCAAACACGTACAGCCACATACCTAATAGGGCTTGAAAGTGCTACGTCACAGCATAGCAGCAATTTCAAAAATTCAAAAATTGGATCCACTTGGATCCAGTTTTTGTATGGATCCAAGCACATTTCAAGCCGTCTTGCTCACAGCAAGGTGATGTAACCAGTGAAACTGACTGATTTGGCTACTGGGGGCAGGGTTACAACTGGTGGCGAAGTAAAAGTCAACCCTGCATGCGACATGAGTGGGTTGCTATGCACCCACATACTGAGGCAATAGCAAAGTCACACCTTAGTGGATCCAAAATAGAAATCTGATGTCAACTTACTACTCCCTGGCCGATTTTGACGTCATCACTTTCAAGCCCTGTACGGCTATAGAGACAAGTACTCTAATTTCAGAAATTTTCGGTGCTCAATATTTTTGTATGAGGGCAAAAGGCCAGGTTAGCTGAACAGAAATCGTAGGTACAGACAAGCAATTTCCTATTGGATTATGTGTGTTAGTGTTTGTTCGGTGTATTGAAATTTTAGGTATGAAACAGATGCACCGAATGTACCGAAAATAAAAGTACACCGAAAATTTGTGAAATTACAGTATTCAATTGTACCGTCGAGTTGGTGGCAATGGACATGGTATGCGACCGAAAGCAGGGAGCAAAGCATACTCACTGTGTCAGTATAATGCAATGAATTGTGGAGTGGAATGCACTGACTGCTGCTCCTGTAGCTCTGCGATGCATTAACTGCTGCTCCTGTAGCTTTGCGATGCACTGCTCAGGCGGCGCGGCTCCTGTTGGTCTGCATACTCTGAGCCATTCCTCATGTTCCTGCCTCTGTTCGTTTCTCAAAGGGTTATTCACCGACTGTGCTGTATCCGAAACGACCGGAGCGCTTGCCGTTCACTAACCTGAGCAAGTCCTGTGTGGTAATGAATATCCCACTGCTGGGTACGGATGTCATCCCGTCGCCGACAGACATCCGTGATCAATATCAAGTTGTTCTGGATGGTATATTTGGGTTCAGCTTCAAGGGAAATGTCCGCGCGCCGTTTGACAAGCTACTAGATTCCCTAATGGCCTGTGATGTACCAGTGTGTTCTATTGATATTCCATCAGGTACAGTGTATAGACTTGGAGATGTTTACGCACACGCGTTCACACACACTTGGGCATGCACCCACACTCGCACATACGCATGCACACACACATACGCGTGCGCACACGCACACATGAACGCGTACACATACGAATGCACACACACACACACACACACACACACACACACACACCTGCGGGTACACACACCTGGCGGCATACACATACATATAAAAACATGCCACGAAGAACACCATGAGCATAATGGATATGGCAATGAACCAAAATCGACCCATCACTGTCGTACACAATGGAATCTGAGAGTTAGGATAATTTTGGTGAAACGGTTAAGCAGACCGACGTGAAAGGGAAGAGATTTTCAAGATTTGACTCCTGGTACCTGCCTGCAAGGTGCCCGGTTGAGAGGAAGGTGACCCGACAAGAGATGTTCTGTTGTATGGGCGTTTAGTAGCCCTTTACTCCCCCCCCCCCCCCCCCCCCACACACACACACACTCAGTTGTGCATAACCCTTTACCCCCCTCCCCCACAGACACACACTCAGTTGCGTTGCATCATCACGTGATTGTTACCTAATACCATGTGCTCGGTTTGCTTGTTGCTGTGGTGCCTCAGGTTGGGATGTGGAGCTGGGCAATCCTAATGGCCTCCAGCCAGAGACACTTATCTCGCTAACTGCTCCAAAGAAGTGCGCAGCATTCTTCTCCGGCAAGCACCATCTGCTCGGCGGCCGATTTATTCCCGACTTCATTGCTGAACGCTACAATCTGCGAATACCTGCCTATCCAGCCGAAGATCAAGTTGTTGTGCTCAGCTCGACAAACGCGTGCAGTGCGAGTTGACTTGCGTCTTCGCTTTGTCCCCGACTATAGTTTAGTTAGGCCACTGCACACCCTGCACGTCTTCTCCGACTGCTTACATCCAAGTGATGCAAGTCACCCTCACAGCTGTGTGCCAGTTGTTCTGGTCAAGCCCACTGGGGCACTAGCATGACCCTGAAAACATGTCCACAGGCACCGGCGGTAGTCTGTTGACCCCCGGATTGCAGCGTACAGTGTGTGCCTGTCAGGCGCTCGGACAGTTCTTGAGAGTTTGACATCTATCTACTAGTAATGTTGCAGTGTACATGTACTTGTCAGATCTGAATATATTCTACAAGTACCAGTATACCGTATTTCCTCAAATAGTAGGCCGGTCTACTATTTTTCAACCTCGCCCTAACCCGGCCTTATAATCGAGGACGGTCTTGTATTCGAGGACGGTCTTTTATTCTTTCAACCCAGTTTGACCCTGGTCTTCTATTTCTCGCCACACAGTTTTACCCCCGTTCTTCCATTTTCTTCTACACAGTTTGAGCACGGTCTTCTATTTTTTTCCCACAATTTGAGCACGGTCTTCCATTTTTAACACAAGAACAAAGACTCATTTAGTAGGCCCGGTCTTCTAATCGGAGACGGTCTTTTATTTTTTCAACCGCCCCTACCCCGGCCTTGTATACGAGGAAGGCGTTGTATACGAGGACGGCCTTTTATTTGCGGAAATACGGTATACGCTCTGCACCCTGCGCATCGATTACTTTCCTGGCAGTTTGCCAAACCTCTTATTGAATATTCTATACGACGGACTGCTTGTAGTAGTTCAGCACGCAAAGTAAAATCATGTACCATGGGAATTTGTGGTTTGAATTGCACAGGGTCTGTCACGTGTCACTAGGGAGTCATCAAGTACTCCCTGTATGTACCGGTATATAATAACTCGGTAGTCGTGGTTTGCATTATTGCACAGCCGTGCACACAATTAGTATGTGTCAATTACATGTATAATAGCTGTAGCGGAGGTTTTGCATGATGCACGGCCATGCGCATAATCTCGTATTTAGCCAGTCCCCAAGCTCTGCAGAATGGGTGCATCGTAAAAAAAATCATTGTGTGTATTTTCAGCAGCGATTTCCCAAACCAGTCAGCATATTGATCACATACTCGGTTCTTTCCACGGCAGGCTCTGCACTGTGCAGAGTGACCCGCAAATAAACCTGACACTACTCTTTAAATACTGAAATAATAGTGAAGAAAAACTTGTCCTGCCGGCAGCTATTCGGTCCACACTGGCCGAATAATTCATCTTTTCACCACACACTGACCCCATCATGTGCCAGTTTTGCTGGCATACCTATGCACATATTATAATATTATAATTTTAGGATCTTGCCGATTATGAATGGCAGAATGAATCGGCGAAAATCTAAAATTTGATGCATAGGTCCCCACACAAGACATTAGCCCCTGGGTTGCGGCGCTTGCGTGTCCCAAGTACTCGCGTACTAAGGAACACGTGGCAGGACACTAAAAGTGACTGGTGTCTTCAATTATTTATGATGTCAGATTTGACATTAAAAGTTGAGAAGCCTCACAGGACCACCACACAGACAGTCCAGGCAACGACAATTTACAGTCATACAGTACCAGTAACTACATGCAAGAATTAGTATCAAGGCAGTAGCAGCAGCGGCAGCAGCAGCAGCGGCAGCAGCCCCAGCAATACACAGGACACACCTTCAATACCAAGCCCAGATGTTAACCTTGCATCTCATTGCAGGTAAGACAGATGGGAAAATACTGTGAAGTGAAACTATACTCGAAGTAATAATATTGCAGGTGTAGAACAAAGGTTCAGTGGATTCTCTTTCTATTCCACGCATTCCTCTGTCCACGCACTGCATAAACCCAGCCTGTGGCAGGCAAAATAACTGAGAAATACTAGTAAAAGCTTTCAATTGATCACGTATGCAATCACGTGCAGCTCATACCCCTACAACAAATAAAACATAGCATGCAGAGTGTAAAAATCAGGGTAAAGTATCGAACAACCCAGGCAGGGAGCAGAGGCTGGCTACAACAACAGTGCCAGTCAAGACACTATTTGCAGCACAACAGACACAGGTAGCGGCAGCACACGAATGTGCAGAGAGCATGCAAGCATGACACAGAGCGTGATGCACAACACACACAAACACACACAAACACACACACACTTACAAGCAATCAACACTCGGCCACAAACAAACATGCAAGCACACACACAGGCATAGCGAGGGCAGAGAAGATTCTTAACCAGCAAGGTAGCAACAGGGTTGGCCAGGAGACTACACACTGTGGTAGGTAATTTAATAGCCTCCATCGTTTATCAGTGTTAGCAGAATACGGCGGTAGTTACCGCTTGTGTCACCCTGCAGAAAAAAGAGAGAAAAAAGGTGGAAAGAGAAAAACCAAGATGGAACTAGACTGCGCATCAAGAGTATAAGATGGTGCACTCGACATGAACACACCGGAAAAAGAGTACGGAAGGCCTACACGTAGGGTGCTTATCAATTTTAGACGTTCAATTCAGAGACCGGATGCACAATGATGAAATGTGTACAAACCGGCCATGCAGGACCAAGTACATAGTGCACGCACATGTATGGAGGTGCTCACTGGAACTGTTCTGGACGAAAGCGTACATTTAGTTCAATGTGCATGGATGATGTCACAATGCCGTTAAGCGCTGGGTCTATTCAATGAATTGATACACAGTGGCACATACATACCTCGATGAAGCTGCGCAGTGACTTCTTGTACTCTTGTTGGAAGCGCACCTTGATGTCCTCCATGTCCACCTCGCAGCGTGTCACAATCACGCGTACCAACGTCGTATCATCCGTTCCCAGACCCTTTCATGCACGGAAATAGCAAATAGACAGAGTACATGCATATGCACAGTATTACAGACACCAGCCATACACATACACAAGTCACACAACATATACCGGAGAATCCCGCGGATAAGCTCATGGGCTTATCTGTTTCACAAGGACATTTCCGTGGGCTGATACGCCGACACCAAAGTTGTGCTATTGAAAAGTACAAAGGAAGTGAGAAGTACATTGCTGAAAACAACTGTGCAAACAAAAACAACAGATGATTGTGTTGAAATGTACAAAAAAACAAAAAACTGACATGGTGCGACCTAGGCCCATGGGCTTGTACAAAGAAGGTTCGTGATGTTCGAACTTGGCCTGGGCTTATGCGCGAGCATGGGCTTATCCGCGGGATTCTACGGTATACAGAGTACATGACATCGTACATTATTACAGCCCGCACATAGTAAGTCGGCAGGTACCACCATACATACCGTATTGCACAGAGTATAAGGCGCACTTTCAACACTTGTTATCCCCCCCCCCCCCAAAAAAAGTCAGTGCGGATTATACTACAAGTACGATGGTCAAAAAAGATTCACGGTTCGCATGAGACTCGGCTAGAGATCGAGTTTTCCGCATCCATAGGAACGCCACCACCCTTCAAGGATCAAGGCGGAGATGCAGCTCCTAAACCGGTGGTGGTATAGTGTAGATGTCTGTATTTTGTGACAAGAAAATCTGGATGCGGCTTATACTCCAGAAAATAAGGTGGTGTGCAGTTTGATGGCACACACCACATCACAGCGACAACGTTCATGTACATGAACACGTAACAGTTCTTACTACCGTAAAATACCGTTGATCCGCCCCCAATGCCACGTCGCTTCCCAGCTGGGTTTTGGGCAGGGGGCGGGGATTAGATCAAGGCTGTCAAGTGCAGTACGATGTACAACAACGTAAAAAAATCAGACTCGATGTGCTGAATTGTGCACATTTTCATCCTGGATTGACACGTATTGTGTACAGCAGTGCATGTGTCCGTTCAACATCGTATTTCGTTGTATACGCCAAAGTTGCTTCACAGGTAGAAAATCGACAGGGGACGGGAATTAGAGAGGGGGCGGATCAACGGTACTTTATGGTACTACCAGTGTGAAGTAGTAACAGTGACATCACAGGGGAATTCCCTGAGGAAATGATCAAGGTGTTCAGACATCTACAGTCTTCGGTAGAACATGCAACAAGAATCGGTCATGATAAAGAACATCCCCAGTCGTACACAAGCAACACCTACCTTCATGGACTTGTACAGACGTTGGGCGAAGAAGCCAGGTGTGTCTCGGACAATTTGCACTGATACACATAAATAAACACAAGCGATTTGGGAATGAAATCTACAGGATAATCCTTGAAGTCAGGTCAGAGTGTTCATTGAGAGAAGATCAGCACTCCAGTCTCCTGATGATCGCTTAGAGCAAGAATCTCGAATAGAGACGAATTTTATTCTACTGGACATTGTGTGTGTGTGTGTGTGTGTGTGTGTGTGTGTGTGTGTGTGTGTGTGTGAGTGAATGTGTGCGTTTGTGTGGTGTGTGTGTGCATGCATGTATACGTGAGTGCATGTGTGTGTCTATGTGTGTGTGTGTGTGTGTGTGAAAGAATTAAGTAGCGACTAACATGCCTTGATTGCCCTTGTTGTTCCGTGAATGAATTCTGCAAATTACGTCTTTATGTTGGAAGGAAAATAGCTATTTTCACAGCGTTTGACATGGTGAAGCTGTCCCAGTTTCCAATAATGAATAATGAATTGCCTGGCAAATGTCTTGTACGTCAGTGCAGCTGTCAGTTTCACCCCCCCCCCCCCCCCCCCCCACACACACATACTAGTACTCCCCCCCCCCCCCCCCATACACACACATACTAGTACTCACCCCCCTCCCCCCCCCACACACACACATACTAGTACTCCCCCCCCCCCCCCCCCATACACACACATACTAGTACTCACCCCCCCCCCCCCCCCACCCACACACACATACTAGTACTCACCCCCCCCCATACACACACAATACAGTCATATGGCTGTGTAGTAGCAAGCTGGCAACAGTAAGAACAAGCTGAGCCACCAAACATACCTATAGCCATCATGCCATCCTTTAGGTCACCGGACATCTCCCGCTGAATGGACTTCTCTATGTCATACTTGCACACCTGCATGTGACCAGCAGAGCGTAGACAGCCAGAATCAAGCACACTGCTAATTCAGGCACAGAGGAAGCACCCAACCACATACTGTCAACATTGTGAATAATGACCTCGGGTATAACAACAACTCGTGAATAACGACACAATCTTCAGACCTAGTCACCACTATTTTGACTGCACGCGTCAACCTCGCGAATAAGAACACGTATCTCAGAAATGCACTCCATCCATAATGGATATGAAAAGTCATTCTCTTCAGTTGGGCCCACTGCAACCAGATTGACACCATCCACAAGCATACGCAGTAAGAGCTGAGCTTAGCGGTGATCTGTTATATGCTGAAGTAGATCGGCTGACTGCCACGAGAAAGGAAGACATTTTTCAAGACTGCATAACCCTCCTGCCCGCAGGGGATACTACCCGGTTGAGGGAGGTCTGGATAAGAGAGGTTTTACAGTACATGACTGTACATGTACATCGCTAGGAATTCCATGTACAATACATAACCTGCATAGTCATTGCACCCCAAATCTCATTACGGCCTTTATCAGGTCTAATTTCCAAACCAGCACCTTCCACTCTGGAATGCGTCCAAAGCCGACTGCATGCATGTCAATATGGCTTGACATGACAGTCTGTTCGGGTGCAGTCTTCAGCGTGGGCAAGGTATTCGCTGTACACATGCACTTAGTAAGCTCTTCTAAAGTAAGTTTGTGCGATGAAAGCATGCAGCTGTTGTTAAAGCCTTCGGACCATGGCTCACCTTGCTGTACTCCTCAAAGACCAATCTCAGCTGAGCAAAGCTGCGACTGGCAAAGATATAGTTGAAGCTGTACGCAACACCATGCAATAGACATTCAGGTTGAGAAGAGTGAATCAACACAACACTCGGCACATGCAGTATGCATGACAAGTTGACAACCCCACAAGACAAAAGCACCCGCGGCTTACCATAACCCTAAAGACAAGAAGACCTGAACTGTGCACCAGATAAAATACCCCGCAAAACACAACACAGAATAGGCAGAGGACAAACCGAGAAAACCACCTCTTCAAACTACAAGTTTCTGATTATTCACACACAGATCCGTGTAGAGAGATACAATGTATCTCTCTACACGGATCTACATTGTACACTGTAGGTGGACAAATGAGTATGTAAGTTGAAAATTAACGTACGTTGACTCGTCCGTTCCCCATCGCGCTTCACCAGCCTTGTACAGAGTCTGTGTGAACGCAGGACACATGCAAACATCAACACAACTGTACATGTATGTTCAGCTAACCATGCTAGCAGAGCACAATGTCACAAAACAAGACTCCACTGTACTACAAGGCACACAGTACGGCATGGTGAAAAGTCTCCAATACGACGTATGTACAAGCGCAGAGATGTACACACGGGCAAGATTATCTAACCTGTGCGTCGGCCTTGGCCTTTGCCAGATCGGTTGTTCCACTTTCGTCGCGTGTAGCCTGCACATACACATAACACAGGTACACACACACACACACACACACACACACACACACACACACACACACACACACACACACACACACTCAGACACACACACACACACACACACACACACACACACTCAGACACACACAAATACACACACACACATATACACACACAAACACACACAGACACACACACACACACACACACACACAGACACACACGTACACACACACAGACACACTCAGACACGTACACAGACACAGACACACACAATGGTACCCGTGATCAGCATCTATAGTCTCAAAGAATAGTCATTGGACTAGTTAACTCCGCCAACAGGGCCCTGCTTAGACATGTGTTGCCAGTGGTATGACTATCTGACAATCGAATCAGCTAGCTTGATAAGAGTTAAGCGAAGGTACAGGCAGTTGCACAATATGTACATGTAGCTCTCATGAGAAGCGCGCGCTCTACACAGAAAACAAGAGGGTGAAGTGCCAATAAGAAATTGTACACCAGAACGAAACTCACCGATAACAACGATACAAGTAAGCGTTCGAAATGGCCAGAAGTTTCCGACTTGATTGCCTTCTCCAAGTCCTTGGAATACACTAGAAACAAACATACAGCAGGTACAGAGCAACACATTGCAATAGATAGGCCTGTCCACTACAATCCAAATGAGGAAGAACACCAGTCTGTATTTGGAGAAATGGGTAGTTTTCTTGACACTTTTCTTTACGAATGTTCTTTCTCACATCTTGGACATTGTTACACGTTCCCCAGCCTGTATGCATACATCTCCGCACTGAATTTTACATTTCACGTCCGTTTACTGGGGGGGGGGGACAGACCCCCCCCCCCCCTACAGCACCCGTGGAATCAGTGCTTGAAGCCACCCCCCCCCCCCCCCCCAAGTTGGCAGCATCGCAGGTTGGTTTTCTTCTGAAGGTACTATAAGTCCTCACGCAGTGTTTCTCATCAGTTCTCTGTGCAAACTGCAAAGCACATGCAAACACAATACTGGTGCAATGTACTACACTAAAACGCCTCTTATCCGGACGCCTCAGATACGGGCACGTCTCTCTACCGGGCACCTTCAGCTTGAGTTCCTATAGCACAAATGCTTCGAATTTGGGTTTTTTGAACTTTTTTCCGTATGTGGAAGTGCTTATGTTTCACTGCCAACCTATGTAATCCCCACATTTTTATCAATGGGTTCCTTTTGTATCCTCAACATGTGCAATACGTGCCAAATAAACTTCTTCAAAAAATGATATCATACATGGTAGATGAGTTATCCTGAGATACGGGCAGTGCCCGGTCCCAAGGTGCCTGGATAAGAGACGTCCGAGTGTACTACTACTACTAGCATACATGTGCAAAACCGGTGGTGATCATCTGGCACACAAACACATAAACTAAATCCTCCTTACTCTTTTTGTACTGGGCCTTTATTGCTTCCTTTTGTGCGTTACTTCTTGAGCAAAGGATTTCAATGAGCACACCCTCATTCGTACCGGCGCCCTAAAAACACCAGAAAAAGCGAAAGAGAAAGAAAGAGAGAGAGAGAGAGAGGGGGGGGGGGAAGAGAGGGAGAGAGAGAGAGAGGGGGGGGGGGGGGGGGGGAGAGAGAAAGAGAGAGAGAGAGAGAGAGAGAGAGAGAGAGAGAGAGAGAGAGAGAGAGAAAGATAGAGATACACATACACACCCACACATCATGTACCATGTATACGCATGCACGCACACAGAAATCATTATGATTTTAGTTTTAACGCACATTTGGCACAATGGAGAAATCAGGAATCAGGAGAGCAGCCACTGCTTAGGCTAAGACAGCTAATAGCAGACTAGGAAGTAGAGAAAGAGAACTTTCCACAGTGTGGTATCAAGCAATATAGTGTGCAGTTCCAACACTCAGATTCAGACTGGACAGTGAGTTGGCACCACCTACCTTCATAGCATAGTAGAGAGAGAAGCAGTCATACTCGGTGGGATCGCGCAGCAACGCCAGAACAGCCGCCTCCAAGTGACCGTGCAACTCACTCTCAATCTCCTTCATGAGGTCCTGGATAATTACCATCCAAACAAACACAAACGTACAGACTCTGCTGCCCGGCATACATGTACAATAACAACTACAACGGTAACAATGGAAGCTGATCACGTGTGTCTTGGTCAAAAATTCTGTGAAGACTGTTGCATTGATAACAAGACAGGAGGTAGTGTTGATGGGGAATTGAAAAGAAAAAAACAGCAGAAGCAGCAAAGCAACAACAACAAAAACAGTCCTTGTGGCAATTGGCTAAGAAAAGAGAGGAAACAGTACAGTGATAGACACTACACGCAGTGGAGTCTGCACACCCCAAGTCTGCATAGTGCATACAGACAAGAAACCAGCAGGCTATGCTCACCTTGCCAAACATGGTTTTGAAGTGATTGCGAATCTCAACTCGCTGAGCCACCGACCGCCGGCTCAGTGTCATGATAATAGCCTTCTCATCGCAACCTATAGGCAGACAGAGAGAAAGAGAGAGAGAGAGAGAGAGAGAGAGAGAGAGAGAGAGAGAGAGAGTATTATTAATCAGAATGCATCTTGTCAATGTGCAACAGCCACGTTCTTCTCCCCCCCTCCCCCCCCCCCTCCTTGGTTTACAAGGGAAATTCCGGGAAATCAACTAATCTCAATATAATTTTATCGATCCAGACCTAGCGGGGTTTCAAGCAAACTTCCAGAAGCGAACACGCTATCGAAGATCAGAGATTTGACGCAAAAGTTCTGATAGACGAAGTTGCACATGAAGGAGAGCAGAAATGGACCAAACGTCGTCTTCTACCTTGTGTGCCAATCAATGTGAACATTTCTGGAGGTGGCTTTCATGAAATCAAGTGGTACATGGATACTAACAAGCACTCAAAGGCACTGTGTGATGTGGCCATCCAGCCTGGAATTTCCCAGGCCACAAGAAGACCACACTTGTGCACGAAAAACGAAGCTGCTGAGGCACAATTTATTCTGTGAAGTTCGCGGTGGACCACAATCTGTTCGTCGGATCTGCTGAGTACTTCAGCAAATTCGTCAAGGATTTCTAGCCAAAAAAAGTCAAGGGAATTCACATGTCCTGTCTTGCCAAGGGATTGCCATTCGGGCGGGGGTACGTATGTATTCCTCACATGCACACCAAGCACCAAATCAGGCCCGTCGAGTTTAGAAAAGAACACATTGAATGACTGCAGCGCACCAGCCTTACCAAATCCCTTCATTGCCTTGCGGAGAGTCTGCGCATCCTCTTCTTTGCTGAAATTCGATGCAGCCTTGACAGATGGCCGCCGTCGGGGACCAGCCTTGACAGAGATAGCGGTAACAATGGGATGGCAAGTTGGACAGTTACGAGTTACTACACCATTGGCAACACTATCACCGCACAAACCAATCACAGTCCAATCATGATGTCAGACTGTAATCAACAGCAGCAATTCAACAATTCACCATGGGAAATGGTCAACCCATGGTTAAAACTTAAAAATACAAAAGTGTTTTCTTCTTCAGACTTTTCCCGTTTGTGTCTTTCCCTCAAACTAGTGAGGAATACAAAAGTCGTTGGGTTTATTCTGATGTGCTGTCAAGCCCATGAGTGCACAGTACCACACACAGCGCCTCACAAACGTGAATTCCAACATGAATTGAGTTATACCATGTCTATTCTTACCTGAGGCTGAGCTGCAGGAGCAGCTGGACGCCCTACACTCATTCCAGCCATGGCAGCAGTGGGAGGCTGAGCTGAGGGAACAGCTGCAGGTTGTGCTACAGGTGCACCGTATGGCGGTGCGCCGCCACTTCCAGGCTGGGGCGGGCCACCGCTAGATGGGTATGGGCTGGAAGCTGGGGCGGGTGCACCCGGATACGGGGCACTGCCCGCAGGGGGTCCGGCGCCCGGATACGGGGCATGGGCTGCTGGTGGACCACCTGGTCCAGATGGGTAGGGCGCTGGTGCTGCCCCTCCATGTGGTGGTGGGGCACCTCCAGGGTATGGGGCGGCGGCGGGAGGAGGAGCGCCCGGATACGGAGCACCTCCAGCAGAGGGCATTGGTGCACCGCCAGGGCCACCAGGGTACGGCGCTGAACCTGATGGCGGGTATCCGCCTGCTGCCGGCTGACCGGGGTACGGGGCTGAACCTCCTGCCGGTGGTGCACGGAAAGCAGTTACTGCAGCTGCAGCACCTGCAAATCCAATCGGAGCGGCATGGGCCGCAGGTGGAGCAGACTGTCAGGTGAAACACACAAACAAAGGACAAGAAGAGGACTGTTAAAAACTAGTGAAACCGAGTTCAGGTATAATGTACATGCTGATGGTCGGGGAAGATTCATCCATACGAACATGTATCGCAACTTGCAAGAATGTGATAATATCTCATTCTTGCAAGTTGCAATAATTATTATGATGGTCTGTGGGTAGGGTGTGAAGACTGTGACAGGGTACATTCAATGTTGAGCCAAGAGAGATGCAAGAAAGGGAAGATGGCAATTTTCGAGAGAGAGAGAGATCGAAAGATCGAGAGATTGAGGTAGTGCCTTTGCTGTTTGCATTACGCAGAGGTCACTGATTTGTCAGTTTGAGCACTTTGGCAAGGTACGTTCGGGCCTGGATTAAATCTGGATTTGGAAATTATATTTTCATTGCTATCAGGTTCAGCCTCATTTTCTCTGTGCTGCGCTGATGAGTTCACAAAGAACGAAACAGCATGCTGTCCGCAGATTTAGATTGAGAGAGAGAGAGAGAGAGAGAGAGAGAGAGAGAGAGAGAAAGATTTTTCATTGGCTTTCTTGCTACTTCAAAGATGATGTGTAAAAAAAACTGCTCCTACAGCTTCTTGTAGTGAAACTGGCATATGAAGTTTGTATGCCTGAATATCTGTATGTTTCTCTTGTCTGCATCTTGTCGTTCCTGTCATACATACATTCCACACCCTACAATATATACTTGTACAGTAAAACCTGTAACTAACAACCACCCATTGGGACCAGAGAAAGCGGTCTTTAGTGGCAGGTGGTCCTTAGTTAGAGGTTTGCACGGCACAACCATATATGAATGTGAGGCCGTCGGTGCCTGGCGAAGTGGTCTGTAGTGCCAGGCTGGTCGCTAGTCACGGTGGTCTTTAGTTACAGATTTTACTGTATTTGAAGCGCGCGCACACACACACACACACATACACACATACACACACACACACACACACACACACACACACACACACACACACACACACACACACACACACACACACACTGGCCTACTCAAGTTGCTTTACAGCCGCCTATTACAAGCACATGCACACAAAATATAAGCGCAGCAATGCCTAATATGCAAGTTGTACCAACGCGAATAGCCGATTGGCTTGTAGGTTTGTCTGCGAATCATGAGGTTCCAAGTTCAAAACCTGCGCTGGTAACAGGGAGTGTGTTTTGTGCTCTCTCGATCGCGGTGACGCGGGCGAGTACCACTTTACATGCAACAGACTGTGCCGATGCCCACGGTGAACTGGGTACTCACTAGCTGGGAGTGAGGGTAACAAGGATGCGATTTACGGGGTTATAGGACTATTACACGCCCCCTTGTTTGAGACGTATCCCCTCTCCCCTTACTCACTTGTGACGTCTGCATTCGACACTGAGGATATATGAGCGAAGTGGTAGCCCGCCAATAGGAACGCCTTTGCTTGATGTGTTCCTCAATACGTGGTGATGTGGCCGCGAATCCGGCCAACTTATTTTATTTTTAGTAATTTATTTTACACGTAATGTACATTACGCATGATGCATTTAATGACAACTTGATTGCCGCGTTCATAATTATTAATTTACCTCTACTTGTAAAAATATTTACCCTATGCACCCAGCACACTGAGGTGTTGAGTCATGAACTATAGCACTAGCCACATGTTTCAAATTAGCACTGGATCGACCCCTCCCACTCCTCTGCTTAGCTCCATTGCATACTTCAATACATGTCATGTATATACCTGCGCTGCTTTCAATCTCCTTCACTGTTGGCTGATGATTGGTTGCTGAACATAAATGCAAACTGGATTGGCAGAATTCACAGGCTACGTATCGGCGCTTGAGCTTTGTGTGAAGCTCTGCATTCTGGTGAAAAGTACACTCGCACTTATATCAAACTTGCATAGAGTGAATTTCTTGATATAGCAAACCATTATCCATATCCCTATCTGAACACATACAAAATCGACCCTTTATAGCGAACAGTTTTCGTTTATAACGAACCATATCCTGTAGGCCTGCATGAACACCAAGTGCACTCATGCAGTCATGGGCCACATAATCATCTGTCATGACGTGTTGCTGTGAGCGCTTTTCTGTTATAAAGAACTAATTCTCCTGCACAATGGCGTTCGTGATATCAAGGTCACAAGGAGTCGACTGTAACCCTTCTCTATTTCCTCAACATTGACAACCGAGGCTTCCACACAAGTAGAAGAACGGCATCAGTTTACACAGACAAACAGTGTGTACAGTACACCTGTCACTGCTTCTGACACCCACCCCCACCCCCACACACATGCACACACACACACACACACACACACACACACACACACACACACACACACACACACACACACACGCCATGCACATACACACACACACACACACACGCCATGCACATACACACACACACACACGTGCACATACCCCCCCCCCCCCCTTTCCAAACACACACACACACGCCTGCAAATACCACATCCATACAATGTACGGTGTACAAAGGAAACAGACAAGATCAAAGGCGACAGTACCCTGTTCATGGTCTTACTGGATACGGTGGTACGTTAGCTCCAGGGTAGCAGGGATTAGGGTTAGTGTATTGCTAGAATAGTGGTGGGTATGAAAACAATAGCATAGCAACAGTCTGCAAAGATGAAACAATCATGTAGAAACATTGCGCAACAGTTACACTCACCACTATTGAATACTTGTACAATACAATCATAAGAACAGTACAATGGCATGTACATAACACTCATTCATGTACCAGAGAACGCAACACATGTCATCTACCACAGAACATAACACATGAGCTGGCACAAGTACCAAGGACCACACATGTATGCACGTCCACGCACGCACGCACCATGTACCATGTATACGCCCGTTGCAAGAGAAGCACGCAAACCTGCAAATGCACTGGATGTGCACCCACACCCACATGCGTGCATGCGCTTACACCCCCCACACCCACCCACCCCCCCCCCCCCCCCCCCCACACACACACACGTATACACATGCACAAGTACATACCTACATGTATCAACAAGAGCACTGGACCGGCAGTGCATTCACAACAACAAATTAAAAAAAGCCGGATGGACATAGCATGATCATGTATTACAGGTGTAGCAGTCATTATTTTCCAAAACATCTTACCGAAGGATACGGGGCAGGTTGACCTGGATAGCCACCTGGAGCACCACCACCTGGTGCTGGGTAGCCGGGCTGTGATGGATAGCCAGGCTGTGGCTGCTGAGTTGGGTAGCCACCGGTACCAGCGGGCGGATAGCCACCGCCGGGCTGAGCTGGGTAGCCGCCGGCACCACCGGGATAGCTTGGGTAGCTCATTCTTGCGTAACCTACGTCCGGGTAAGAGATACACATGAATATACATGCACACGCGTGCACACACACACACACTTGTACTTGTTGCTCACTGCCAAAACTGGTCTCGTGGGTCTCCCCGGGAGAGGGGAGAGAGACTCAAGAGGAATCTTGGAAAGATGACTCAATTGGCTATTGAACCGCCCAACGGCCGACACCTCCTGAAATCCCCAAAACTCTGGGTGGACTTGAAAATGATCCCACTTATGGGCTCACCACAACTCAGTAAGTGGGTGAGGACAAGGTGCAGAAAAAGGATTGACGGCATCAGGGTATCCGTCCCGGGATCCAACTGCAGTTACCCCTGCCCCCAGTGACTACTAGTGTGGGTGGCTAAATCAGAGTCGATCTGATGTAACCTTCAGTAGCACCGTTGATTACACAAGAGTTAATCTAGCCAGAAGCAGACCATGGTTAACAGGTATGTATACTTCAAATAGAAAGTATATGAACCCTGGAACCAGCAAGGGTGGCAGGTACAACATTACACCTTCAAGCAGCCGAGCCCGTTGGCAACAGACCCAACACAATCAGGCATGCGTGTACCCACCAACCGAACTAGCTGGCATGCACACACACACACACACACACACACACACACACACACACACACATACACACACACACACACACACACACACACACACGTGGTTTCCTATGGGTGGCCATGTGGAGTAGCAGAGCAGTACCCGTATCCAGCGATCTCCATTATCACCACTGTCGGGACATTCGCTGACATTATCACCACTGTCGGGACATTCGCTGACATTATCACCACTGTCGGGACATTCGCTGACACCTGGAACGCACAAATCTTCGGCAACGATATTCAGCTGGAAGCCGTACCGAGCACCACGGGGTTCTCCGGGCAAGACTGGGTGCTTCAAGCGGACAATGCTGCACCTCACAAAGCACTTTGTGTCTTTTAGCTAATGATGAGCAATATTTGAGCATAACCCTTAACGTATCAATTTGTAGCTTGGTGTGTGAATATTAAGTCAATAAGGATAGATTGAGTACAGTCATGTACAATAAAGAGAGTATTAGCCACAATAGTAAGAGAACATTGGCGCCGGATTTTCAGCTAATTTCACCAGCGATCCTGAGGTTCTACCGACGATTATCGGCTTTATTAATTTACCGATACGCTTGTGGTGTTTTTATTTTATTTTTGTGAATCCTTCCCGGAAGCAAATGCTGGTTTTTATGCATTCGTGTAATTACTCAGCGTTATTTGCAATAATAATAATAATAATAATAATGAGTACCATAGATACCAGGTTTATGTATCTACACATACTAGTAGTAGGTGCTTCTATCCGCTGTTGTCATCGTGCTAGTTTCCCTGTATTGGAGATTGGTGTCTTTTGTGATGTTCTGCTTGCAACGGACTATCAAAATGTCGGGTAGGGAGAGCTGCAGTGTAGCACGAAGGGGCCACAGGTGATCCCCAGTGTCCATATTGGTAGGGCACTGTCCAGGTAAGATAGGGATAAGCAACATCTGACTTTGTACTAATAGTTATCATGGTTATGAACAGAACTACAAATTGGAAGAGATTTTCAGCAGATGCACTACAGAGGACTTCGGCAGTACTGCAGTGCTTGGGCGGAGCGTAGCTTGGCCACTAAGGCTTGTCCACAGACAGTGTACTAATTGTGCTATGCAACTTTTGTGGTAATGCATATTCAGGATTAGTGATCTGGTGTTGCTGCATGCAAAACCTGCAATACGTACCTCTTTTAGACGTGCGTCAATCCACAGCAAATCAGGAGCTGTTGTCCGCCCCTTGCTCAGTTCAGTGGACCTTGATCGTTACCTCAAAATAGGGCCAACCACGGTCGAGGTCCAGCCCGTGCTAACAAATTAATTCAACAAAATAACGTGGCACGTGGTGTCTGCGGCTTGGCGCACTTCGAAGTACTTGGACAAACCAGAGTGTGGAAATGAAGTACAACACAAGATTCAAAAAATTCATAAAAGAGTATAGACGCCCTGGAATGGCTCGTTGTTGAAGTGAAGACAAAAGCCAAAGCCAGGCCAAGCAAAAGGAGAAAAGCAAGTAGTTCGGGTTCTTTCAGCAGGATGTCACGGGATTCTTTTCAAGCGGCCGGTGTTTCGAACAGTCTGGCTGATCGAAAGAGCTCTGGCAAATATTCATGGTATTTGGGTGAGTTTGGACTGTGGAAAGAAAATGAGAAGTCAACTCAGCTACGTAGCTACATCGATTCTGATGACATCATGAAGCATGACACTGCAGCGCGTGCATTGAATGATGACGCTGAACAATACATGAAACAAAAAAAGTAATACCGGTACCGCGGTAGGCGGTACATGTACAGGGCTAGGGTACCGGTAGTTACATAGTCATTCAAAAATCAAATCTAGCTGGCCGGCATACATACCAGACCAAACACAAAAACAAAAACAACAGACTGGTATCAGCACAAGTGTAAATCTCACCTTCCAATGACTCAAATGAATGAGTTTCCTCATTGTACCAACACTTTCCCGATCACTTCAGAGCTCAGGTCCATCCGTCTGAGTTGGTAGCCGTTTTTAGTGAACTTCAAAGTTCGCTGGTAGAACTACAGACTACATGCACAACGTACACGTAGATCTACGTTTCTGCCCCAGAATTACTACGTAAGCTTTGTTTTGCTGTTGGAATTTTGAATGGCCACAATGCTCTCACAGCTGAGGTGTAATCGACTAGTGTCATCAGGACTCCGCTGTTCCCCAGTTCAGCTGACTAGGGTGTTCCATGGTGAGTTTGAAAATGTTCTGTAAAGGCATTAATTTTTGTCAAAAGATAGCATAATAAAATGCAGCATAATTATTCAATGATTGGATCAAGAGGTTGAGATGAGGTGACAGAGGGATAATGCATGTATACAATATGTCGTCTACTGCATAGTCAACAGTACTTGCACAGTCATAGTTAGTTTGCATACAAGACTTAGTAGTTACCAACTACTGTTGCAGTCATTGAAATCCGTTGAGAAGTCGAGCGGCCACGGGGCGCAGACCTTGCAGCCGCGAGTACTGCTGGTCCAGTTTTACAGTGTGTACGTGAACTACAGACTACAGTACATGCAAGAACTACAGTACATGCAAGCGCTAAAAGCAGTAAGGACGCCGACGCCGGTCATCCCATCGGATTTCAGTGTCCACGACAGTAGTTACCATAAGTACAGCACGGTGCTCTTAGAACTACGGTAAATTCATAATGGGTATATTCATAATGGGTATATTCATAATGGGTGAATTTGTGGACCATGTAGGTCGCAAACAAACTGCCATTTTTGTTTCCATAGCAATGGCTAGTACAACGTAAATCTCAGAGCCACATTGGCGCCTAAGGCTGTGTTTACACGAGAATGTTCAACCCGGGTCGAGTTCAGCCCGGGTTGAACGTCTGTACGATGGACAAAATAGGTGGGTGTTTACATGAAGGCAGTTGACCCGGGTCGAATACTGATATGCCGCCAAAAGTCCACTTCTAGAGTCCTGTGTAGTCACGTGAATACTTTCGCGCAAAATTCGCCTGTGCAGTGCTGTTCTAACCTGGCCAAGTGATACACACAGAAGTACAGTAGTACGATTTCTCGATTTCAACCCCCCCCCCCCCCCCCCCAGGTGAGGGTTGAAATCAACCCGGGGCGAAATTTCAACCCGGGTCAAGCGCAATGCGTCATGTAAACGTGCCAGTCAATCTGTGTTCATGACGGGTTGAAACTTGACCCGGGCTGAACCGCCTCATGTAAACACAGCCTAACAGTGAGGTTGTAGGCAGGCGCGTGCCCCGTATGGGTTCCTGGGTGCCCGGAACCCCCCCCCCCCCTTTTCGCTCAAAATGCAGGATTTTGCTTCATTTTTGGGAATATTTCCCGGGGAGGTCCCCCGGAACCCCCCGCTCGAAGGGCACCGGCACACACGCCTGGTGGGGATACGATTTACCACAGTTTCCGTAACCCAAGAGAGTGTGTAATTGTGTGCATGGGCGACTGCACGTTCCTCTGATAACGGCAGTACAAGAGGTTGACACGAGGTCAGCAGGGGGAAACCATTTGCTGCCAGGATGCTAATCAGTCAGCAAGCAATTTAGGATAGGTACTTGCTAGAATAGCCCAAGAGGTGATTGTGTTGTTCTTTCTTTTAATCTTTGTTTCTACTTCTCCAGCTACACCAGTGCAGAGCACAGCTGAGCAGCAAACGATCGATGTGGAGCCGCTGCTGTATGCCACGCACATACCCACATCATGTCCAGAAAAGGCGCTGTTAGCGACTGGTTCAGCTGCAATGGCACTGTACGATCCAACCCGAGATGGTAAGCAGCACTCAAACATATTCTGCACTTTAGCTTGCTGTCGGTCTTGTGCTAGTTGTAGCGTTGGCACGCTGGTGATCACACAGCTGCAGCGTGAATCACTTTCAATGTATTGGTCACGCGTGTTACACCGCACCCGTACCCCGCACTTGCAACTCTGTACCGTGCTTGCAGATCCATGACATGCATAGTAACTAGTCTCACTGCGTTCAATGTTTCATATTGACCAAGAAATACTGCTGCACTTTCAACCGCCTCTTTTACGCCCATTGCCCACACTGTTATTCAGCTCCTTCTTCTGCATAGAATCAAATGGCATTCCTTGTGCAATGACTGTAGCCCACACATCTACTTTGACCTTTCTTCTTCTCTCTGCTGAGCTTTGCCGTGACCATTGCTGTTGCAGCACGTATGCTGTCTGCCTATAAAAGCTGCTGTTCACAATTCTCTATACGCCAGTTAGAAACTACAGTTCAGTTAGAAACGACAGTTAGAAAGGCCAGTTAGAGATACCAGTTAGAACCTTCAGTAATGTCAGTTTAGAGTTAGAGTCAGAGTTCATGTTTAATAATTATTAACAGTGTGTTCACTGAGACCCGTCTGCATTTGCCTCAGAGAGAGACTGCGGCCCGTTACAGAATTGGTGCCAGCGGTGGGATACGCTACAAAAATGGTGGCAGCGGTGGTTCAATTTTATAATTGCTAGATTCGAACCCACCTAGTATCTGTATTGCATTGATGGCAGCGGCGCTACAGAAGTGATGGCAGTGGTAAATTGTTTTATTAGTGTAACCGGTACCAGCATGCCCCAACCTGATGCGTCAGTCGCCGCTACTCCTTCGCCCACCACGTCTCCCCATAGCCCGAAATGATGACGGACAGCGTCTCTCCCGATCAAGCTCCATGTCCAATGTAAGCTAATTCCCGATATGGCATTTTCTTTCCTGTCTTCCTTCAGTCTTCCTGTTCTCTTCAGTCTTCCTTTATGCGAGTGTGTGAATCCAGTTTAGTTAGGTAGGCGTCCGATCATGGTGAGCCACGGTCTACCTAACTAACCTGGGATAATGTGTGTTAGAGTGCCCTTTGTCCAGTTCAGTTTGGAACTGTGAACTATTTTTATGGCTCAAACGCCATGGTGGTACAGCAAGAGTGCTGTGGTTTTCAAGTCCCATTTGGAGGACGGTTCTTTCCCCTTTTGACCCCGTGAGAGCGTGTGAACCTGGAGTGATGCTATTTTATGATTTTATCAGTTCATTTCTTCTGTCTACTCGAAACGTTATCATTTCCGATATTATTTTGCCATATTCTGGTTGACGCTGTACCAGTATGATGCGCTATCTCCTATAATGTTCAATGATTATGTTCGCACCACCTCTCAGCCCTGTGTTCTACTGCTGCGCTCCAGCCAGTACTTCAATGTCAGTTGTCCTCATTGCGTCCGGATATCAACCGAGGCTGTTCACGAATACATACCTGTATATGCACGTCATCCATTCTGCCTATCTTCTTCCGTCGAGGTTATTCCGACGCGACCATGCATGCCTCCAGTGTCTTCTAATCTCAGTCGATTGTCGGAGTCCGGCTATCAACTAATCTTACTCACCCAGTCTAGTCTGCGCATCTCCATGATCTTCTATCAGTGTTCGTCACTTCGTGTTCTGCTACTCGGACTCTAATCACGAGGACGTGATTGTGTTTAAAGAAGGAAGGTGTAGCGTTGGCACGCTGGTGATCACACAGCTGCAGCGTGAATCACTTTCAATGTATTGGTCACGCGTGTTACACCGCACCCGTACCCCGCACTTGCAACTCTGTACCGTGCTTGCAGATCCATGACATGCATAGTAACTAGTCTCACTGCGTTCAATGTTTCATATTGACCAAGAAATACTGCTGCACTTTCAACCGCCTCTTTTACGCCCATTGCCCACACTGTTATTCAGCTCCTTCTTCTGCATAGAATCAAATGGCATTCCTTGTGCAATGACTGTAGCCCACACATCTACTTTGACCTTTCTTCTTCTCTCTGCTGAGCTTTGCCGTGACCATTGCTGTTGCAGCACGTATGCTGTCTGCCTATAAAAGCTGCTGTTCACAATTCTCTATACGCCAGTTAGAAACTACAGTTCAGTTAGAAACGACAGTTAGAAAGGCCAGTTAGAGATACCAGTTAGAACCTTCAGTAATGTCAGTTTAGAGTTAGAGTCAGAGTTCATGTTTAATAATTATTAACAGTGTGTTCACTGAGACCCGTCTGCATTTGCCTCAGAGAGAGACTGCGGCCCGTTACAGAATTGGTGCCAGCGGTGGGATACGCTACACTAGTCACTACTCTAGTCTAGTGATGTAGGCCAACTGGTTCATTACATGCTCGGGAACTGGCTTATTTTGCCGATTTTGATGCAAATCTGTGTAATGCTCGGACTGTGGACTGATAGCAACATGTAAAGCCTATATAGCCAGGAACCGCTTCAAATGTATCCCAGGCTACGTCACTGTAGCAGCACCTACCAGCCTCTGATGCAGTGCAGCCCCTAATGCAGTGCAGCCCCTGGCACAGTGGAGGTATGGAGGTAGCAGAGGTCAATAGAGCTAGTAGTAACTAGTACCTCTACCAGCAACCTATAATGAAAATGGTGTGATTGCACCCTAAACATATCTATACAGAGGTAGCTGTAAGTGTTGGTGGCATGAGAAAAGCTGGAAGCCACAAACTCCTGTTATTGACCAGTGCACTAGCTACTTGACCGACTTGCACCACGGATATGCAGTGCGTGCATGTGCAGTGAAATGCTATGGTGGATCCTCGGTGTCTGGAGATTGATGTGACCGGCGCATTGCGCTAGTTCACTTTCTTCTAATGTAACGATGCTGTTGATGTGATCTACTGCAGACATGGTGGCTGCACTGGGCGAGACCACTGGATTACCTGCGTTGAGGGCCATGCTGAGGCGTATGCGGTGTGACAGTGTAGGACAAGAAATACTACGGTACGTGACTATGTGTTATGGCTGTTGAAAAGGCCAATCCAGGAATTGGGCTACAGTGGTAGGATATCGCTAAAAACTGCTTAATTGTAGATTGTAGCATAGAAATAGAATGATTGGATTGATCATTTGCCTTGTTTTTCTCTTTTGCCGTACATACATCGTTACTGCACAGGATCAAGCCAGTTGTAAACACGAAGACTGTGGACATGGATCGACTTCGTCAGCTACCGCCCGACACATTTGGCTACGCGTATGCCCAGTTCATGGACTCTCATGTTAGTTTAGCATCACTGCGTTTTCTTTTCCTTTTTTTCTATCCTCCAAAAAGGAACTGGACTTACTGCAAAGATGCGCAAACAGACTCTTTGCACTGCATACTCCCATACCAGACTGTACAGTGTCGCATGCTCGGTTTTGTTCTTTTACTCCAAGCCTCTGAGAGAGCTAACAGTTATGTGCCCAATTGAAACTTTGCAGTTCAGATAGCGTGTGTGAGGCCAGGCACGCATCAACTGCCATTTCACCAGGCGTGCCTTGTCTTTGCGTGTGCTAGTAGCTACCGCATTATTCAACCCTAATACAGCAACAGTGGAGTCTTCGAAGCCGTTCTTTCAAGCCCTTTGTGTGAATCATCATGCCTTTACTCGCCTTCTATTAGATCAGGATGCAAATTGCCAAATTGGCCTCGCTGTCTTTTGTTGTCAGGGTTACTCGCCGGATGAGCGGCCGCCCGTCAAGTACGTGGATGATGCAGAGCTGGCGTACGTCATGCAGCGCTACCGCGAAGTGCACGACTTCATCCATACGTTGACTGGCCTTCCCACCTCGTAAGCACTGAGTTTCTCCTGTGAATGTGAGCTGAGCAGCTCACTACCACTGCTGCTGCATTCTGTATTGATACTGTTGGAGCATAGTGCTGTGGAGCACTGCTGGTTGCTGCTGGTTGTTTTGGTGGCTTGACAGTTTATGTTCAAACACCCACCTTGTGCATGCACCGCACTGCCTATTTAAAGGGGAAGTTAAGGCAAAAATTAAAATTTCACCAGTTGTAGTCTTCGGGGTGCTGAGTCGAATGGTCGTGGTCCGAGGAAGCTGAGACGCTCCCTTCCTACTTGAATCCCAATCGAACTCGCGTACTTCCACCGAAACTGGGTGACTGCGCCCTACTAGATGGGGATTTGTATGCAAAATGTCACTAAAAGCGCCATTTCGTTCTTATAAAAGCACGGATGACCGCGATTGGCCCATATGTTGTAGTCTTTTGGACGCTGAGTCGACTGGTTTTGGTCCGAAAAGGCTGCGATGCGGCGTTCCTCCTTTATTCCCAATCGAACATGGTTGAAGAAGCGGTCACGTGCTCCTGCGTACACCAGTCACCTGGTCACCGTGCCTGCAGGGTACAACTTACTAGCCTGTTTGACCTTTTTTGGGTGCAGTCCTGTCACTCGAGTTGAACTCGAGTTGAACCTTGGTGTGAAAGTTGTCACCTGCTGGCGTGGTGACCAGGTGATTTGGGCACCCAGGAGCACGTGACCGCTTCTTCAACCATGTTCGATTGGGAATAAAGGAGGAACGCTGCATCGCAGCCTTTTCGGACCAAAACCAATCGACTCAGCGTCCAAAAGACTACAACATATGGGCCAATCGCGGTCATCCGTGCTTTTATAAGAACGAAATGGCGCTTTTAGTGACATTTTGCATACAAATCCCCATCTAGTAGGGCGCAGTCACCCAGTTTCGGTGGAAGTGCGCGAGTTCGATTGGGATTCAAGTAGGAAGGGAGCGTCTCAGCTTCCTCGGACCACGACCATTCGACTCAGCACTCCGAAGACTACAACTGGTGAAATTTTAATTTTTGCCTTAACTTCCCCTTTAAAATTTTAATTTTTGCCTTAACTTCCCCTTTAAAGTATTCTATCTGATTGTCTGTTCTGTGTGTCCAGTGTATATGGCGAGGTGGTGGCCAAATGGTTTGAGATGTTGCAAACTGGTTTGCCAATGTGTATGCTCAGCTCCTTCTTCGGCCCCTTGCAGTTGACGTTCAGGTAATTTCTTGTCGCATTCCGAGCTGCTGTTTGTCCATGTAACTTGAGAGTGGTGACCAAGGGAACTGTTGATAGAACTGCAGTAACAGTTGTAATATGCCTTGCATCATCTGCTTTGACATACAGTCATGCATAAAGACAATGTCTGGTTGGTAGCTGGAATTTTGATGAGGAGGAATAGTGCACCTTCAGTGATGGACGGCCATGCATTCTGTTCTTGACCATTTCATACAACGTCATGTACATGACTATTTGATTGTACATGCACTGCAATGTGCTCATTAGCAATACATATTTTTGGCATTTGTAATCCACTTTCCAACCCAGTGACAGTATGCATTGTCTACAACAAGCCGGAGAGAGAGTGTGTGTGTGTGTGTGAGAGTGGGGAGAGAGAGAGAGAGAGAGAGAGAGAGAGAGACAGAGAGAGAGAGAGAGTGTGTGTGTGTGTGTGTGTGTGTGTGTGTGTGTGTGTGTTTGTGTGTGTGAGAATGGGGAGAGGCAGAGAGAGAGAGTGGGGAGAGGCAGAGAGAGAGAGAGAGAGTGGGGAGAGACAGAGAGCATTCAAGTTCTGTTGTAGTTTCGTCAAAAGTTATTATTTTTTTCTTATCAATGTGTGTTGCTGCAGTGAACAGTTGCAACTACTTGGAAAAGGTGTGCCGTGGGCAATTCAAGCCAGTTCAGAAGCCCAGTTCTTTATGAATGTATACTATGAGCGACACTTTGAGGAGCCTTTGGACAGTTTGAGAGCAAGAATGCGTGTACAGTCTCCTAATTTACAATGATACATCAAACTGCTATAATTCCAGCCGTTCATAAATACTTGTCATGGTTAAAAGCAGTGAGAAGTCAGATCTGCTGTCATTGATTAATAAAATGAAAAACCAAAATATAAAAGCAGAGACAAAGAGACGCACACCAATGTCACCACCCAGTGTGATACGGCTGAAAGAAATCTATTACTGCCAATCAGTGGATGGAATTGCTAGCGTATTGGTGCGCTCCTTGTCCCGTGAAAGAGCGCCTTGTGACGTTGACCCTAATGAAGTAGTTGCGGTGGCTGAGTTGTGCACTGCCACTGTCGACGTTGTTGGTGTACGTGTTGTGCGCCGGCACGACGCCTTTCGGATAATTGCTTTGCGCAGCATTGACACCTTCTCCTCCAGGGAGAAGCCCATCAAGTCTTTGCGCGTGATGATACCCACAACTCTGCGCACATTCAGAAGAGCAGTGCAAGCAGCACAGCCATGTCAGTGAAAAACAATAGTCCTGGACAACAGATACTGTGAACATAGACAGTTCCACTATGCTCATCCTATGCGTAGTGCTCTCACACTCTTTCACAGGGATTAGAACTGCATTATATGCCACAAATAGTGGATTTTTCCTTGACACAAAGTTTTTTTCAGCTGATCCACAGGAGCATGTTACCATCACTAAAAATACCACTTAGGGAGCATCTCATAAGTTCGCACTTTTTTTGTAAACGTAACGCATTTCGAATAGACTTTACCCCCCTACCTCCCCCCACTATTTGAAAGTCTTATCGCACATTTTCCGTGTACATGTACATGTAGATATACTACTGTACATGTCCATGCATGCCATGGTATGCACATGTACATGTACATGAATGTCTTGCTAGCGTGGAAGTGAATGGCGTACAGTAGTACGGTACTACTACTAGTACTACATGTAGTACCGCATCTACTGAGTACAAGTACAGTACAACCAATGACATGTACACGCACATAAACAGAGTTTCTCCACAAAGACTGTACTGTGAAAGCTGGCCAGGTACACGGTTTGATAATGTTGGTGTGACATTTGACACCTCTGATTAGCCTGCATGATTGATTGCATGCAGTGCAGGGTTAGCTGATCTGCGAACATACTACAGGTAGATCTACACCTAAACACCATGAACCATGAACACACCCTGCTGAAGCGGTCTAGCACATGCACCATATGTGCACAGCACACAACCAGAAAATGTGCGAACTGTCATTTTTCTATTCGAAAAGGGCGCTACCCCCCTACCCCGTTTCGAAATGCGTTACGTTTAGAAAAAAATGCGAACTTATGAGATGCTCCCTTAGGGGTCGTCCGTATTTTTCGAAAAATTAAAAAATCCGTCCTCAGGCAGAAAGCTAGAGGGGGTGGGTGGTCAAGAGCGCAGGCGGAATTTAATTTTTTGATTTTTCGTACTTTTTTTTTTTTCGTCAGTGACTTTCATACACTTGTTGCACTGACATGTAGTGCACTGTAGACGTAGTGTAGGATCGCAAACACTAGCATGATTATACCGGTACATGACTCTTTTTTAGTTGTAGGACGTGCATGGCCGTCGGTAGACCTCCTACTCACTTTACTTAGCTACTAGTACTTGACATACATGTACATGGAGGTGCAATCAGTGAACATGGGGTCAGGACTCAGGAGTTCTTATTTTCGAGCCGGGCATTGGTAAAAATCAAAAAATTAATGGGAAAAAATGGGAGGTGGGTGGGTGGGTCAGAGACAATTTTGCACGAGGACGGATTTTTTATTTTTTTTATAATTACGGACGACCCCTTACTTCACAAAAGTTTTTTTTGTCTTTATAATTAATATCCAATCTGTGATATGAACTGAACTGATTCCAATTCTAGTGAATGTTGATTGACATCTTCACTTTTTATTACCCTCACTTGCACTGGAAAGACGATTTAATCTGGCTTTGCAAAAAAAATATTATGTTGTTTTCTTGTGGTGGTGAAGTTCAAATTTTATTCAGCCTTGACCATGAAAGTTATGGCTTGCTGATAAAACTCCGGCAGTGCTTGCAATCAAAACTGTGAATGGTGGATTCATTTGTGTTTACTTCAATTACCGGTATAAAGTAACTACCGGTACGAGTAACTTTAAGCAGTTGAAGAATTTCGTCAATTGGGTACGCTGTGCAGGTGTATTCACTAACAATTACTTTCAATATGGATTGTGCCGTGTATGAATGATAGTTGAGGCCATACAAAAAGGACAAATAGGACATTGTCAACCTAAAAGCAGCAAAGTGGTAAGTCATTAGCTTTGATAGGTTCTCACCTGTTGAGTACATCAACAACTGGTAGATGTCTGCAGCAAACAAATCAGAATAGTGAAGACTGAATTATAACTCCATACACAACTTGATTGCAATGTTTGATCACAGAAATAGGACTAGGAGCAGCTCAGCCCAAGCACAAGCGTGAATGTGATCAAGTGTGTGGGCGGGGAGTAGTGCTGGTAAACACCTCTTTGAAGGCGGAAAGAAGAGGGTGAAACAACTTTTACAGAACAAGCGCTGTGTTTCTGTACTAAGTTTTTTTTAAAGTCCAGACTCGTGCGAGGGATATTTGTGCATTTTTGTTGCAGGGTAGTGCAAGTCCAGGATGTGGAACACGTACATGTACAATATTTGCCAAAAAAATCCGCCCAATGCTGAATGCATCATATTATAGTCGACCACCATGTGCAGCATTGGCCGGGATTTTTTTGGCGACTATTACTTCGGGTTGGATTCCACCCACAACGTAGCGCCAACTATACATAACTGACAGTACAGTTGTGCCCAATGAAATCTGGCATTATGAATAACATCACATCCTACACCAATGCACTGCCCAGTGTTTGCAGTGTTTGGGGCTACACGGCGACTGATGCTAAGGCCGTCATCACACTACGCACAGGCACAGTTCTTGATCCATATACGGGGTCACGTTTTTGGAGAAATCTGAAAATTCAAACGCACGGAAAAAGATGTGCGTGTTCATCCAAAAAGTAGCCATACCCCCCCCCCCCCCTGCCACGTCTACGTTTCCCGTTCCCTCTGCTCCCGTTTTCATCCCGTACACGGATCATCATGGCAACCGACCAAAAAAACTTCTTACGTGGACGTAACTTTGTACCATAATGTGATGACAGCCTAACTGACTGACAAGACCGGATTTCAACGAGAAGAAGCACTGTACATGCACATGTATGTTGAAGTATAAAGACTCTATAGACGAGTCCATTAGTAAGAGTATGCAACTGTAATCTCTTTTCTATGGGTATAAGCAAGGGAGTTAATGCACCAAGAACTTGAAGATCGGGTGCGTACTCAAACGAATCAAGCAAAGAGGGATGTGCTGGTATGAGAGATTATGGGTTTGCGTGCATGAGTGCAGGGCATGATACAAGCTAGTTACATCATGACGGCAGAGCGCCGTGCACTGCATACTCTTTGTTTATGGACTCTTGCCGCCACACATGATGACGTTAGAAAACATTCAAGCCATTCAACTCACCTCAGACCGAGTGTCCGGAAAATAATGTAAGTCCTTTTCAGCGAGAAACTGGTGGGCACGGTTGGCTGGGACTGGTTGATGTAGGGACTCTGCAAAGAACATATCCAAACAGAAAGCAGCCCCTAGTTAGCAAACGACATCTTGAAACCATTAGCGTCACAAGGAAAAAGGCGAACCGAGTTTGATCACCAACATGGAACCAAATAATGCGCATATCTTTTCAGAGCTTGGAAGCAGTCATTCCCTGTCAGTGGCAAAGCAGTCTGTCGAAAACCAAAGGAACAGAACACTGATATCTTTCATAACCTGCCATTGTCCACTTATGATGACTGGAACTTTGTCACAATACCTCTGACATCCAGTGACAAGACAAATAAAACAGCATGCCCACAGTTTTAGCTTCGGTGATGATTGTTTCATATGCGCGATTGGAAAACCAGTGTGTTAAGTCAGTGCACGACACGTGTGCTCAAGGGTGGAAGTCATGCAAGCACCAGCTGCTATCCGCGAGGGACGAGGCCAGTTCCGTACTAGCCTGCAGCACCTTCAGCTTTACACACTGTCTTCAATGCTAAATTCAGTAAATCATCGGGATGCGTTTTTCCTCAGCTTCCGCCCCCAATGTGCCAGTTCTTCTCTTCCGGGGGGGGGGTTCAACTAATTGTGGCTCATACACAGGATGTGCAAGAAATAAACAGATCAACTGGATCTGTTCAGATGGAACAAAACGGGGCACCTTGAGTGTGACACGTGCTGAACTGGCCCTTGCGATGAAGTTGCTCAAATGCTGTTGCTTCAACGGTCAGTGATTCCACATACAATGTACTCATACGAGATGAAAAAGCCTTCAGAGTACGGTTGTTATCTCTACCATGCCTCTCATGTTCACACCGATCACGTCAGTCATGGGAACGTTGCCATTGTTGGGACAAATTGACAAAAAACTTGTCACAAAAGTAATCACACATTGCAAAGTAACAGTGGCATTTTGCTGAAAGTGTCCGCCTGCATGAGGAGACTACAGAACAGAGTAAGGTCATTTTCCTCGTGTTGTCACATGAATGTAGTCAATAGTACCACTACTGTTACACATACAGCAACATCTTCGCGGTTTCTGTCAAAATCGAAGAGGACGTTTTTTCCGGATTGGTTTTTCGAAGGGAGGGTGAATTTCCAGAGAGGGTCCGATGAACCGGACAATTTGGCAGCACTTCACATGAAAAATAGCACAACCCTCCAATGTGAGCAGCACCTATCTCTCAGGGTGACTAGTTAACACCCTGCAAGTCAAACAAGCGGCTCTCATTCCTTTTCTGTAGCAAGTATAAATGTGATAGGACAGACTGCATAGTGGGTTTGCTATGAGTCTGGCTGGAAACTTGCATGAAACACCAGGTACATGGGTATAATATAAATCATATATAAATGACCAATAAGGGGCAAAGAACAGCTTCCTTGTTGCGACACTTTACCACACTCAGACGTCTATCATTCGGACGCCTCAGACACGGGCACGTCTCCCTACCGGGCACCTTCGGCTTAAGTTCCTATGGCAAAAGTACCTCGATATTAGGGGCCATCCGTAATTATCGATCTTTTTCACGAAACGAAAAAGTTTCGTTTATGGGTGGGTGGGTAGTGACCGGTTTCGTTTTGAAAAAACATCGAAAGCGGAAAAATCAATGCGCACTGCATGCATTGAATGCATGCACACATAATCATTCATTGCATTGTGTACTTCGAAGTAGATCGACAGTACGTCGCGCGGCCAGGCAAGTGCTTCATGGATGCACTGATACCACTCTGTACTCAGTGCAGTCGTGAGTTCCTTTCGTCCTCGGATGACTTCTCCGATGAGGACCTATATAATTATTATAATTGTAGCAGTCATTCGCTCTGGGACCGACGACAGATAGATAAATACTTCGTTCCAGCCGCCAATGCAAGATAATTTCAAATTACGGAGCGGGGCGCACGCCAAGTAAATTCTCATGCAAATATGGGAAGCGCCAGCCGCTGAAGACGATGTCGTTGTAATGTACCTGGAAGAATCTGATTGTGCTTATGGTGGTGAAGCCATGGAGAGTGATCCCCGTGTCGACAGTCTTCCAGAGACGGAAATTTAGGCCATCGACTTTCTACGTACCTGATTGACGGCAGCGTGTGTGCGACCTTACGGGGCTTTCCGACAGCGATTCTGGGGCGATGCTGCTCTCATTTGTGAGCGAGGCACGACCACTGAAGTCTGTGATAGCTATGGCGTTTGTTTCCGCTCCGAAGTCGACTTGTTTTGGCAGTATCATGTCAATGTCGGAACTCTGACGATTAGTCACGATTTGCATGTGTACTATTCCCGTGTTTAGACGTAGAGGTGCCAATTATTTAGCAGCGTATGTGTGTGGTAGGTGAAAATAAACGTTTCCATGGTCAAGAAGTAGTACCAGACTTCCAAGAAAACATAACTGACTTGCACAATCATACAAAATGTGGCCTCGCTGTGAGTTATTGGCATCCTTCTAAAATGTTATGGATTTCATATACATGTATAAAAGTAACTATTACTTGCCGGTAAAGGGTTAATAGTGCTTGCATGCGAAGGATATGTGTGTGTGTTGTAACAGCCAATCAAGATCATTTTCTGCACAAAGTCTCAAGTCAATTAATTTTTTCGTTTCAGGGGGGGGGGGGGGGGGGTGAAAAAGATCGATAATTACGGATGGCCCCTTAGGGGTTTGAACTTTTTTTCCGTATCCACAAGTGCTTATTTCTCACTGCCAACCTGTGTAATCCACACATGTTCATCAGTGGACTCTCTTTTTGTCCTGAACATGTGCAATACGTGCCAAGTTAACTTCTTCAAAGACCGGTGCAATACATGGTAGAGATACGGGCAAATCTGAGATCCGGGCAGTACCCGGTCCAAGGTGCCCGGATAAGAGACGTTCGAGTGTACATTGGACTACTATGCTGGGCAAGCTGACAACCACTTACTAAATCAATGTAACGATCGTTGAACTTGGGATCTTCTGCATACGTTCGAATAGTCTGCTCGTCCAATAAGTATGACTTGAAACCAACGTAGCCCAGCTGTGACAACATAGAAACATGCAGGATGCAACAAACCATTTAGTGTAAAATAAAAAAGATGCCATCTACCGTAAATCAACTAATTTCTGCTGGCAACTAAATTTCGCTGGTTTTCACCGATTGGCGCCAAGCGGTCAAAGTAAATCGCCAACCAAAGTTTGTCACAGAAGTAAATAATGCAAGATTGAGCCATGACTCCATGTGAGAGCAAACTATCTATCGATTTCTTTTTTGAAAACCCTTAAAGGCCAAAGTAGTTTGATGACGGCCAAACGTTTCAATTCGAGATTGACCAAAGCTTCTCACCGGCTCAAATTTGTTGATTACCCACAGTATTCGCTCAGTGAAATGGCAAGTGTACCGGCATATACTAGATAGTATACAGTGGTAGCACAGGATCCCCAACCACATGAAGAGCAATGTTGTCACATGAATGTAGTCAATAGTACCACTACTGTTACACATGCATACAGCAAAACCTTTGCGGTTTCTGTCAAAATCAAGGAGGAAGTTTCCCCCCGGATCAGTTTTCGAAGGCAGGGTGAATTTCCAGAGCGGGTCCGATGAACGGAGCAATTTGGCAGCACTGCACGTGAAAAATAACGCAACGCTCCAATGTGAGCAGCACCTATCTCGCAGGGTGACTGGTTAACACCCTGCAAGTCAAACAAGCGGCTCTCATTCCTTTTCTGTAGCAAGTATAAATGTGATAGGACAGACTGCATAGTGGGTTTGCTACGAGTCTGGCTGGAAACTTGCATGAAACACCGGGTACATGGGTATAATGATCATCATAACCAATAAGCAGCAAAGAACAGCTCCCTTGTTGCGACACTTTACCACACACACACACACACACACACACAAGACTGCAGAATGTCAAACAATACCCCTTGGCTCACCAATTCAAACGGCAGACCCACGTCACTGGGCTCATCCACAATGAACTTGTCGTAGTCGCGTAGCTTGTCAAGATCCGTCTCTTTCAAGAAGAATGGCTCTCCTTGATTCAGCAGATGATGAATGGTTTCCCTACAAGAGAACAGCAGCATCCCAGAGCGAACATATTGAAAAGGCTATCACGCACAGAAAGAAACAGTACAGCCGCTGAGTATGTACTCCTTCTTGTACTTGCGCAGCAAGTCTCTACAAATTTCAGCCAATACTATTTCAATAACCGGTGCTAGAGACATCAAAAATGTCCAAGACAAAAAGAGGAAGACATCTTCTACCTGGAGACCAGGCCAGAGTAGCGCTCTACACCAACGACATCCCGGACGACAGGAAATCCACCGTGCTTGGTGGACAGGAGCGTGTTGGCCAGGCGATTGACTGTTTCTTGCAGACCCAGGACAACAGCTGGGGAGCTCATGGCGTGCCGGGCTTGATATAGCTCAAGACTGTCGGCTATTCCGCGCTCACCATCATCTTGTCTAAAAGACAGACAGGGAACAAGGAGGAGGAGCATAAATAACAATTGTATTTACCAAAGAGGAAATTTGCTCACTAGAAACTTGCACAGATGGAGTCAAACCAAGAATATAAAAGAAGGAGGGGGTGTAAAGAAGAAATTCCTAGTTGAAACAATTGGCAAAAACAGGGTTACAGTGTTGCAATGAGTATGAAAATCATTGATATCACCAGGCAGTGAATCAAAAATAAACCCACTTCCAGGGCCGTATAACCGGGATTTCAGGTGGTCCGGCCAAATGGGATATTCGACCGAAAATGAACAGTTTTGAGTTTTGACAAAAGCCCCCTTTTGCACGAATTGGGTCGGTCAACTTTTTTCTCGAAATAAGGTACAGCCCTGGTCTGACTGGCTGGACCAGGTGCTACAGCGCTGGCTCCAAAAGCATAAGGGTTGGCAATAAGTGGGTTCCACTTTCATCTTACACTTTGAGATCACGTGTATTCTCAACTCATTCAGGCGCACTAAAGAACGAGTAGCGTTATGCTCCCTTGAAAAGCGACTGTAAGCAGGATCCCCTAGGAGTGGATACTCATTCGGTGCTACACCGAAATTTCTATTAACCGAATGCACTTTAACCTTGCATATCAGTTTGCTCCGTGGAACCTCTCAGATATCTGTGTCAAGTTTTGTCAAACTTGCTTGGCATTTGGGTTGTGCTCATTTTACCCGAGACCCACTCCAAAGTACCAATCCGGCTTTGGGTTACTCATTTTCTCACGGTCCGGGGACGAGTAACGGAAGTTCATGTAAACCCTGGCTGCAAAATCTGCCTTTGTTTATTAATGCAATTCCTGTGAAGATGATTTTTACGGCAAAATGTTTGACTGCGGGTTTTGATCCGTGCAATTTTACCTCTCAACCTATTGCCGGGCTGTGGTCATCTAGACTGTATTATCCTGAGTGTTGAATTTCTTTGTTCATGCGTGACTGGCTGGAGTCTGAACAGATTCATGAAACTAGCTCAATTGTGGATCTTTCTACAGTCCATTCAGAAAAAAATGAACTTCTAGCTTTTGGCCATAAATGGGTCAAACGTTGAGTTTTTTTAGCATTTTTTTCTGCAATCCCATATGGAATCCTCTTCCAATTATGTTTCTGATGTTTTTTTGTCCAAAAAGCAAGCCATAGCAAGAATAGGATTTCGGCCAGGTTTTGCCCCAAAAGCACTGAATTGGGAAAAACCATCAAAATCCAGGCCGTTTGACCCCGCCTGCAACAGTGCATTCTGCGGTTCGAACCCCAGTTCAGGCACCCTTTTTGGACCCTTTTTCAAATTTCAAAGTTCGCAGCACTGCACTGTGTACGATGAAATCACGAAAAATCGCCAAATACGGGAGCTCGCCAGAGCCAGGACCCATCTTTTTATGAATGGACTGTAATCAGGTTTGAAGTCAATGAGAAACACAAACAGAAATGGTCAACTGCTAAGCTCACCCGTGATGCTCCTTGTAAATCACAGGCTCTGTGTCCAAGAACGGTATACACTTGATCTCCATCAGGGCATGGTACAGCGGATGTGTGAGATAGTCACCGACCCACTTGGAGATCAACACTGTTACCATGATGGGTAACAAGAACTCCACATCACCAGTGATTTCAATCTGAGGCACAAACAGAAAGAGCACCAGCATAAAACTCCTACGTCTGACAAAGAAGCAGTTATAAGTTGTTGTTGCTGTGTGTGTGTGTGTGTGTGTGAAGAGAGAGAGAGAGAACTGCTGGTAACGGTATCGCATGTTCAAAGCAGAACACTGAAAAGACCATTGTCACGGCATAGACTGCATTTCCAATCCAATAAGCTAACAAAGTAACTGCATAAAACCTTGAAGGAAAAGCAAGAAAGGATACAGTACTGTCAGACTCGATCAGGCATGTGAGCCATGGCCATACGTACGTTTTCCATCTCACGTTGTCGCAGAGATAAGTTCAAAATCGATCTCAACCCATGACCTATTACTTCAAAATACAGCAATAATTACAGTTCTCGGTGTGTTCGTTCAGGGGTGCTGGGCTGGGGACTGGGTACGTGGGCACTTGCCTTATCACTCTAAAAACTGTTTCCGACAGGCCCGGAAATAGAATCACTGGACGCAGGCTCAGCTGCTTACCATAATGACAGTCAAAGCCATCGACAAGCGAGACACGCCTCCGAAAAAACTGGCCGCGCCAAGGAAGGAGATCGCACCGGGGTCAATCCATCCCCAGTAAGAATCCCGATCTAGCAGGAACGAGGCACACAAGAAGAACCGAGAACAGTTGAATGAAGTACTTGCACAGGTCAGGAATGAAAAGATTGGCTCGTGCCAATACATACCATGTACACCGAACCACCGGACCAGGCCATACGCAAACAGTCGACCGTATATTGATCCGATGAACAACATGGGAATGACCAAGCCAGTGGATATGGCACTTCCTGCTGTGATGCAAGCGAAGAACGAGTAGAGGATTAGAATGCCCACAAGCGGCCTGCAAGGTACAAGACATAAAGAGAACAACATTCATCATTCCAGCACACAATTCCCGTTAGAATCACCCTTTGAAGCAACCCTGAAACAAATCATTTCCCTTAGGGCCGGGTTCCACTGCAGCTCCGCGGCAAGTCCCAAAGCTGTGGCTTGCAGCGGAGCAGCACCATCCCACTGACACTCGCTGTACCGCGATCGTGCTCGACGTTTTTTGATGACCTGCCTACGCGCGCGTGCGTGAAATCAATTCCTTGTGTTTTGGCCTGCGAAACAAATTAAAATTTGAATTTTTAAATTCCCGCATCTAAAACAATGCAAAGTTCGAGAACCTGGGCGAGCCACAAGCGCGGTGAGCAGGTTTTGATCAAGCCGCGACTAGAAAGCTGGTGGTGAGCCGCGACCTCACTGCACCAGCCCGAGCCGCGGTCACTATGGTAATTCGGGGCAAAGCGACCGACCCAAATTCCTTATAGACTAGATTCAATCCTATCGACTGACATCGCCCTCACACATGAACACAAGCACAGCATATTTACGCAACATATATATGTGCACACTGCACATGCATGGTCATACACCCATGCGCAAGCAAACCGAAGTGAAATATGAGCACATTGACCATTGTAGGTTGCAACAAAGCACAATATGAACACATTGTAGTGTCAAGGTTCCAACGGACCTATACGCATGTACTTCTGGGTACTTTTTATAGATGAACTTTTTGATAAGGGTTTTCCTTCTACCGACTCAACCTTATCGACTGGCCAGTCGACTTATCGACTCAGTCGTTTCACCCCTATGATGACGTTTCATCTCCTGGAGATGATGTGCAGCGGAGCCATAGTGGAACCGGCCCATAACACCAAAAGGAAAGCATATTGCTGGTACGTGCTAGGTGGATTGAATGGGAAGGGAGGGGGGGGGGGGGGGGGGGGGGGAGAGAGAAATTTACTCCTACAGATAGGAAAACCTACTTCTCACTAAACTGTAGATGCGTGCCACGTGACAGGAGCCGCTTGACAGCTGCTTCACCAGTCGTGTACAGAAGAGTAGCAGCTGCAAACACAAATACAAGCACACACAGATTAGGGTTTGGAAAAAAACGTAGCCAGAAAATTCGCCCAACAATGGAACTACATGACTAGTATTCAAGTTTCCTGTACCGCAATGTAAGAAACTACAACATGTACCAGTTGGCCCACGACAAGTCAATTCCAACCAGACTTATTGAAAACACTTGGATGCGATCTAACAGAGCTGCACACAGCGTAGCGGTCTGGCAGTAGAGAGGTTCCGGGGTACGGTTTTCCGTGCCAAAATGCGTATGGGCGCTACGGATTTTTTCGAGGCGCGCTCCATACGATTTTTCGGCACAGAGAATCCGTGTGGACTGGCTTTCATACGAACCATGTTTCGTATGGAGATTTTGCGTCATCGAGTGCAGAAAGATTTGTCGCATACAAATTTGGTACGAGAAACATCGATTTTCCGCGGGAAGTTTTGATATCGGTACAAATTTTCAAAATAAAAAGGCATAGCGCGGGAATATGACGTGTTTGCGATCGTAACCTAGGCAATGACGTCAAAGACATAAGTTCCGTACTCCGGAACATTTCACTGCTCAAAAAAAGACGTATAAAATCCGTAGAGCCTCTACGGATTTTGGCACGAAAAACCGTGCTCCGGAACCTCTCTAATGGCATCATACAGACACTGGCATGGAGATTGCGTACCCTCATTGTAAGTGTCGTTGCTGTAGTTGCGACGTGTCCCGTCTGTCAACATGTATTCCTTCTTCACTCCCCGTGGGCAGTTGAAGTGGACGAGGCGATTTTCTTCGACCATGTTGATGAGAGGGTTGAGCGGTTTTTCTTGTTCACATGTGAATCTGCAGCAGAGGTAGGAGCGAAACAAAAGAAGCAGAGGAAATAACGCAGCCAGCTGAGTACTTGTAGGCCGGGTATTCACGCGTTTCATACGGTACAATCCCACAAGCAAAATGGCCCACAATGATTCTCACAAGAACGACACTGCAGAGAAAGGACTCACATGACATCAGAGGAATTCGCTGTGCAAGTTGTGTTATCGCATACAAAACCGGACATAGGCGGTTGGCACTGAAAGGCCTTGCACTCAAAAAAGTGCGGTAAAAAGAAGAATATCGTGCCGACTATCAGCTGGAGAGAAGAAACACAGCGAGGAGAAAAGACAATGAAAAAGGCAACTACAATCAACACAGACAGAATGTGTGCTTTGTGTAGAAATAAAGGTTGTACGGTACGTCAGGTGAAAGAGTTGCATGCGGATAAGTACAAGTACTCAGCTACATGAATGTCAAGGAGTCGTACACCTCCGGAGCTGCGCTACTTACAGTAATGATAACCGGATCTGCCATTCGAACGAGACGCACTTTCCATGTGCCTTTGATCGACCGTCGTATGTGATTACGCAGTTTGGATGCCTGCAGAAGGGGGACAATGTCATGTAGAAAGCGAGGTTTGAAAGGCATTGTCAGCAAGGCCATCCTATCCTGACCAACTGAAATCCAAACCAGGCAAGCAACTTGCGGGAGACACACAATACTGACTGGTCAACAGAATTTCATTTCTCCATAAGGACACCTCTCTACTGTGCAAGAGACACTCATTCGGAATGGACAGTATGGAAAATTATTTGCTGACAACTATAGTTGTCCAGCACAGACTGACGTACCTGAATGTTAAAATGAGTAAATAAGCCACCTAAAAGTCCACCCAGGCAGCCAAGAATTATAGCCGGTAAAAACAGCAAGAAGTTGATAGCTAATCTATCAGCAACCTGTAACGAACAAAACAAACAACAGACAGAGACCATTATCATAAAATAGGAAATGCAACAACTCAATAATCATCCGCAAAGAACGGAATTTTAGATGCTGTTTGTCGCCAGTAGGTTGATTTCCACCTACATCTATGCTAAGAGTGCATACCGAAAATGCTCGCAGGGCCAGTCGTGTACGTCTCCGATTCCTGAGTTCTTTTACGGAGTCACCTTAGTAGCTGGCCTATCAACAGCTATAGAGTGTGTGTGTGAGGGGGGGGGGGGGGGGTCACAAGACCATTGAGCAGATTTCAGAATTTCAGAACATGCATTGAGTTAGACGACCAGCAGGCAAGAGATCAGAACTGGAAAAGCACATTAGAAGTACATGTACATCCGTGTTCTTGCCCTACCGGAGACAGACAGACCAGCTACTTACATAGAAAGGGATGACACGCTCGCTTCTGAACTGCCCAAAGGTGGTTGTGATGCTGAAGTCTGTGATGGCCGAATTGAACAAGCCCTGGATACATAATCACAAGAGAAGAGGCAAATATTGGCCACGCGACCCTACAACTAAGCACCTCCTCGAAGTTCGAGAAGTTGCGTTTTTCGTACTTTCAAGCGGCCGAGTACAACAAAGTACAGAAGTATCCCCATATCAATATCATTTCGTGGGGTGCATGCATGCTAGAGAATACTATAGAATAGAGAAAACGGTATTCTTCTTCAAAGGTTCTTTCATGGTCACAGCGGTTCAAGCTACCCTAAACTCAGAGTCAAAACAGAACAAAGTTTCTCACCATTGTGAACTGGTGTTGCAGGTTCGAGGGTTGAGCACTTTTGCAGGACAACGACAACTCTGCTTTGTAGAGAAGGAGTAAGATGCTTTTCTTACAACACTTTCGGATGCTTCAAAACATGGCATACTTTGAAGTACTCTGCATGATGCCGAAAATGGATGGATAAGATTTCCCGAACTCTTTCCCCGGAGATTGTCCCGTGCCTGTGACTATTGGTATGCGGATGAGTGAGGCTCAACTATACGTCACTGGTAAATCAATAACACTTTGCCCATTTTCATCAAAATTTCGTTCATAAGCTTTCTATTTTCAAACATACAAACCGTCCGCCGTACCACCTGTACATGAAGATCAGTTTAGCACGCATTCTCATTTCAAACGCAGCCTCTGCATACAAAATCTAATGAGCAGTGTACAGATCGCCCTCGATTTGCAGTAGCATGTTGAGAGATTCTGTGCAGCTACATGTACACCAGTTCACCAGCAAAAAAAAAGTTGGATAGCCAGGCTATCTGGCCACACACTAAGACATAACACATCGGAAGATACTAAGCTAGGTAAAGCCAGGGTCCGTACCGAGACAAACGATGACACCATGCAACAAAAGAATGTCTGCAGTCCAAGCTTGATGTTCCAAAAAGATGACACCTCCTCCATCACAAAAAGAAGGCCTCCGACTGGCGAGCCAAAAGCAGCTGCTACGCCAGCTCCAGCACCTGCAGAAATGAAATCTCGCCTGAAAAAAAAAGAAGGATCAAGAAACGCAAAGGCACTGGTAAGAATGGAAGCCTGCGCGAAGGGCAGGTACAGCACCAGCACGTGGCATTATTGGTCACAGTGACTCGTTACACACAGGTTTCAGTGGAATATCAATCTAACCGTATCCACTCCAAAGTGTCATGCAATGCTACAAGACAATGCTAACCAAACAGTATACAGTGAACTTTATCCTGCAAAAGTCGTGATGTCCCTTGGTGGGAAAGTGCTGCATAAACGATCATCACAATGTTACAGATTTAGCTGTGATGGTAAAACAGTAAAACCTCCCCTAACCGGTCGCCCTTGGTGCACCAGAAACTGTCCTGATAAGACAGGATTCGACTTAATCTTGGGATGCACATTCGATCCACAGCACTTTGGTGCATGAAAATTGGTCCTGTCAATACAGGATTCCGCTTGGTACAGGGTCCGGCAAACACAGGTTTTACCGAACTGCACAGAGCTGTGAAGTACTGTGCGCTGCTGGACCTGTGTGCGTGCATGTACCGGGATGGCATAACTATACGCGGCTTGTGATAAGCAGTGTTGCCACATCATTCTAGCCAAATATCAGTAGCATGAAAAAATAAAATGCATCATCCGGGGGCTTTGCCCCCGGACCCCCCCCCCCCCCCCCCCTATATAGCGACCACATGCGGCACTGATAAGAAAAAAACATTTCACGGTTTTGCGCGACACTCAGGCTGAGTTTGCCGATTTTTCCCCGAGACAGATGATTTCGCTTAGCGCCTCAGGAGAGAGCTATAGAAACACTCGTGATGCGCAGTAAAAGTCAAAAATCTGGACCATGACTCCTAAACCATGCATAAGGTCGAACTTGAACACTTTCATGGCTCTTGTCGGCAGGAGAAGGTCAATTGTCGGCAGGTCGTGACATGCCTCAAAAATCGGCAGGCTACTGACATGTCGGCAGGTGTGGCAACACAGGATACGTGAATTCTGCATTCATATTTTGTATTCTCTAGGTGTGTGCATTGATGACTCGGGGCGGAATCCAGGCTCTAAGTTTGAAGGTAACTTTGAATCCTGGCAGCATTTAGTGTCTGTTTACGAGTTCATTCAGCAGATCTGAACCTCACAGACGGTCAGCAGATAACAATGTAACGGGGTGCTGAAGTACTGACCTGTCCTGCGAGTTGCGAAAGCGACTGAAATGCTTCAATCTCAAGCCAAAGGTAGTTTGGCTCAAGCCAGCGCCAATGAGTGCACTGAAAACACACAGACACAAACAGAAAGTGAGAGAGAAAGACAGACAGACAGAGAGAAAGACACACACACACAGATAGATAGATAGAGAGAGAGATAGAGAGAGACACACACACACACACACACACACACAGAACAGGAATGAAATCAGGAGTGAAAGCATAGCGGGCAGAACCGCAGGAAGTAGTTTTTGATTGGTCCGGTAGTATCATAGCCTTTCTGCAGCCTGTGAATGATATGGCGGGTACACATGCCCTCCACAGTAGTAAACACGTGTTTGTGGCCAAAAGGTTGGTCCGGTGATAACCTGACCAACCGGACCGATTCCGGGGGCCTGCAACGCATAAAAAACCCACCCTAAGGCTACGACACTGCTGATACTACCAGTGGAAAGCGAACACGCACGCATGCCAATGCACACACACACACACACATGCATATGTACGTGTGTATACAACACATAGAATATTTCTGCACATATGTACGCGTGAAAACAAATGCAGACGATCCTAACAAAAAGCAGAACATAGAAAGTCAGCATCGAACATTCAAACACTCACCCCATGTGAATTACAGGACCTTCAGGACCCGCTGGAAGGCCTGCCGAGACAGCCAGTGCACATGATAAAAACTTTGCAATCATTGTCTTGATATTAAAGATATGATGGACAAAGGTTCCATTTAGGAAGCCAATCAGCTCAGGGATCCCAGAGCCCGCAGCCGATGGTCGAAATAACTGTGAGGCACGCAGAACACAGCACAGATGTACGCACTCACTTATTATCCATTCCAAGAATGAGGGATGCAACAATCGAAGAGAAGGAAGAACTACAAATAAACATTCACCAAACAAAGTGAGTTTTAGGTCTACTTCTTTAGGATGCATTTGTAACATAGAAAAAGTGGCTGGGGGTGGATCTCAAGATAGCGTAGTACTACACAGGCAGATTGAAGATGTCATGGCAAGGAGAGTCTTCTTGGTGTATGTGTGCCCTTCAATATCCTGGCCATTGCACGGAACAATAACGGGAAAATAGCAATCTGCCAAGAGCAGCCCACTGTCTGCGGTCCCGCGACAAGTCTCTGAGAGAGTGCAGGCCAGTCAAGTCCTCTCTGCACCCCAGAGGTCCCGCGACAGGACAACCGGCAGTGTCAAGAGCATTACTTACCACTACTAATGCAGTTGATAATGACACGCAGCATAAGCTAATCCACATCACCGTCACCCAGCCTAGCGCAAGGTCATTGCGCTCCACCATCGGAATGACCGCGTGCCATTTTGTCCTGACAAGAGTGAACACCAACAAGTGAAGAGCTGATCAGAATGCATTCAGAGATAGGTGTTCAACATCACCTGCACACACATCATAGGAGCTTGTACATGTGTCCTCGTTTCTCCTCATCGCGCATTTCTGCATCCAATTTTCTTCGCGTGGAAGCATCTCCATTTTCAAATACTAGTTCTAAGTTGACAAATGGTTATACGACCGATTGTCGTCTGAGAAAATGAGCAGGTCAGCAACTTACTCAGAGATGATATCAATGAGTTGAATAAGGAGAAATGCTACTAAGCCCGTCGTGGTGCCAATCAGTGCCATCATTAGCCAAACTTCCCACTCATCCTTGCTTCGATTCTCTGTTGACCAGATCTGGACAGGGATATTCACAGCAATGCAAACACACGTGGATACACACAAATTCAAGAAGAAGAAAAACGGTTTATACCAGACGGCTGAAGGTTACTATTAAAATCCATGATAATATTCGCACACAAGAATATTCAGGCAATGGCTCACTCACCTTGTACGCTGTACTGTGCGGCGGAAGATAGTCGAAGCTTTCAAACTCTGATAGCCGTTCCCGTTCCTCCAACGAGTAGCGATGAAATTCACTAGCTCGGAGATGGTTCTTTAGCTTGCGAAACATGTGCGCAACGAACTACAGAACATGCAGCAAAAAAGAGAGAGGAGTCAAATGAAATTCTTGGTCGATTGGTGTGTTGTCAGGATTGTAGGTGCAAAGCATTTCTGGTTAGATTCAGGCATACCACCCTGCTCAATGGCTTATGAGTACATATGGTTGGAAGTATAGGACTGGTCCCTGAACTGAGTAGTACCTTACTAGCAGGTAACGGGCATGTTACCCCAGGGTACCTTGTGTGCTGCATTGTGTGGATTGGTGAGAAGTGCAAGAAAGCACAGCACAACAAAAGGTTCCGGTTCTAAGGCAGACAAGACTATGTGTCTCGTTGGATCAAATGAAAAAACCTATTACAACTGTTGAGTATGAATTGACGGACCTATTGAAAATGGCAACAAAGAATTATTGCAGACAAGATTATTGCAAGTATGCCGTTCCACATCACATACAGCAACATCGGGAGACGAAGAACATCTCCGCTCCAGGTTAGCGATTTATTCTCTTTGCGAAATTCTAGCAACTTCTTTCTTGTTCTGAGCTTGTGCATGTACAGTACTACACTGCCCATGCAGTGCTACATGATAAGACAAAGTCACCAGTACATGGTGTTCCTAAATCTTTGGTTCCAACCTGGCACCTTGCGAAGTTTTGGTGACTTTCTAGCTCGGATGTTTTTTCCGCACTCGGCGTTACAGCAGAATGCAATCATCGGGTCAGGTGCAGATTTGTGTGCTTTATGGCAATGGAGGAGTGAAGAATGTGGCTTGCGCTCATTTAGCGCATGTACAAATCCACAAGGGAAAGCTTCATGTCTTGTCTGCATTGGTGCAACCGGGCAGTTGTACACTAAAAACTTACCCTGGGAACGGCACCGATGGCTCGGGCTGCTGGATTTGGCACATGCATCGGCTAAATTATGTGGGCACATACATACATACACACATACACGCATACACACATACATACACACATACATACACGCATACAATCATCTGATGATTGTTCGATCTTGAAACCCACAGCTACGAATGAACTGCTTGCCCCCTTCTGTGCAATACATGCATGTACATGTACATGCATGACGCGGAACAAAAACTATGGAGAAGAGGTCGCTAAAGGAGTTCCACTATTCTAACTGCTATTATAATTATTTGGGACTTACTTGCGGCAAAATTCAATACAAGCTGGACGTTATATGAACAGCGTGCTGATTGCAGAAATGTCATGGTGGCACTGGATGCACATTTGCACAGGAATGAAAGCTAGGTGCACATGAAGTAAAAAAAAAACAATTTTACTCCAGCACTGTTAGGTTGCTTATGCCCATGCTTTCACTGGCCGCATGTGATCATGTGTTGCGTATGCACGAGTTGTAAGACGGTTAAATTACAGCCTCAAGACAGAGAACAATTTTGCCAACGCGAAAGCTCGCCAAAGCAACTTTAGTACGGAATGTTCCCAGTACTCCTTCAAAAGTAGTGGTGGCTGGCAAACATAAGCAAGCCTTCACACTACACATGAAGGAATTGGTCAAGGGAAAGAAAGACCAAATTTGGAACCTGGCAAATATTTACTTTTGGCAATTTCCATTTCAAAATCAAGCAGCTGACTGATGTGGTGACTACGATCAAATTCCACAAATAGATACAACTAGTAACTATTTTTCAGGCCATAGATCTACGCCATAACATATGCCCTGCATCTGGTCATATCAACTTTCGATTTCAATTCGGTGACGGGACATGTCATCTGTTGATCTAGTAAGTCTAAGGGTATTCCGATTTGGCAAGTCCTGTTGCGGAATGAGTAAGTTGGCCTAAGGACCCTGCAAGCTGCAATTCCGGTACCGACCTTGGGAATTTCTCCGCCATCCCAAGTATACCCGCGTGAGATGGGTACTGCGCCTTCGGTATCCAGCATCACCGTTGGCTTGATCAGCTCTCTACACCGCGAAATATGGATGACATACACGCATCAAACGTTTCCTTACGCTCAGCAACAAAGAAATTGGAGGGGTCCGGACCGAGACCACAAACTAACTTTTCCCTTTCTTCATGGTTGCTCATCAGGCCGCGCTCTCTGGAGGTCAGGCCATGAAATTACGCTTCGCCCTCAGGAAATCTCCCTTCCTTGTCTTCATAGGACAACAACTGCGGAAAGACTCTGTATATACCCGATCTTCTTCCTCTCTGTCTCTCTGTCTCTATCTATCTCACTGGTCTCAACTGCTAGCAAGTCGGCCCTCGGCCACAGGTTCAGCTAAATGACTCGAATAAATATCTGAGGAAACAAAACGATTCAGCCCAAGGCCACAGTGCAGTCAACAACCATCAGATCATGAACAACGCGGCGGCTGTTGGAGGCCAGCCAGCTGGCTTGCTTTCCCAGATGTTTCGCTTTAGGAGTTGGTCAGCTGACTTCTTCAGTGAAACGCATGCGCATGCTAGCTACTTTGCCGAGCTCGCTCGATATCGAGAACAGAGAAGATCAACAACCGCAGCGCATGCAGATTCCGCAAAGATCGTTCGATCTCCAAGAAACGCCGTAGACTACGTACAAAACGCCGTTATTCCCGTATCCATGACGAGATATATGACTTCATGGCAGATGACGAGCTACAAGCTGGGAGTGCAGTGGGAGCTACATCATAACAAGAGTCCATAACCCCCCAGAGTGTGCAACTCCAGGTTGGGGTCTGGCGCAACGAAATCCAAACATTGCGTCATCCGGTCCCCGGGCAAGCATGGGCGGATGGGGCCATATCCCCATGTGCATATCTGGTACATCCGGCGGGGGTTCCAAGTAATAGCAAGAGTACAATAATGAATACATGAAAACCAGAGTGTGCAGCTTGGGGCCTTTTCTGCTATGGGTGTCTGTCACGGCGAAATTCCGTGATTACATCATATTTGGCCCAGATCTGAGGCGGGAAATGGCGTAGTGCGTACAACTGAGCTGCAGTTGTGCAGAAAGAGGCCTGCTTGAATCCTGCTTGTACGCACTACATCACTAAAATGATGTAATCACGGAATTTCGCCGTGACAGCAACCCATCCGAGCTGCACACTCTGGTTTTCATGTACTCTTGGTAATAGTTGAAGGTTGCTTTGAAGCAAGCCACGGAAGTGTCACGTAAAACGTTTGCTGCACGCGCACGGGCTATGCAGTGTCAGCAGAACGGCTTTGATTTCACAGTCAGGGCTCACCACGACCATACAAAATAATTCAAAAAGCGTCGACCACCATTTTGAATGCCGCCAAAACCAGAGTTTGTGCAGTCATAGCGGCTACGCACCCGAGTTCATGCTCATCGATGTACAGCGATGTACAGTCTAGTCGTAAAATACCGGTATTTTACGACTTCCTGGTCTACTCTGCACAGCGAAGGGCCAGTGCCGAAGCGAATCTTGTTGTTTGATGTCGAGAAAGACACGCGGAGAAGACGTCCTTTCTCCAAGCAATCTTGGTCAGTTTTCTCAAATCCGCTGGTGGGTGTCGACCAAGATATGTCCGTGGGGTACTGGTGAACTTGAGTCCTGGCATCTACAAGAATTTTCCGCGCCTAGCTAACCAATGTTGTCAGTAGAACTCAGCGTTTCCTGATCGCGACTCGGCACACTCTTTTCTGTTTGGCCTCGCAGCTTTCACGCTGCGAGTGGGGAGTTTCCTTGTCACAAATGAATCCCTTAGTCATGACCATGATGAGAGGTGACTAGTATGATCCCTGACTGGCATGAGTCCTTAGCTCGAGTCAACACGAAGGTAAACTCTTCACTTGGAACGCTTGCTGTCTCCTCCGCCCTTTCTTGTTGCACTTGCAGATATGCGCACGGCTGCCAGTTTTTGTTGGTGCGCGCGGCGACGCACGGCCGACCTTGATGTCTTCAAAAAAGTAGAACAGCGGTTCTCCTTGGCCGATTCTCATCATCGATAGCTCATTTTCAAGGTCTTTGAATTCTCTATCGGTTTACCGTCCCCGATTTCTAATTTTCTCTTCATTCACTTGTTTGCACGCCTTCGCGTTTGAGTGATTTCACCATCCGATCTCAGCCAAACGAAGGCCAAATCGAAAAATTCGAGACGGTAACCCCCCAAAGACACACCTTCTGAACACGAATCCACAATGGCCTAATGTCTAAAACCAACGAATACAGCCAAGCTCCACTCAGAAAACACCCCACAATTGCAAGAAACAGCCCGTTTTGCTGTGCGCTGATTGGTCAAATCCAAATGACCGTTATTGACGCTTTGTATGGTCGTGGTGAGCCCTGACAGTCACAGAATTTTTTTATTTGAAGAGAGTTTCTCTGCTCGTTGTCTGAAAAGCTTGTATTGGGAGAGTTCGTGACTCCGGGATAGCAAGAATAGGCATGGATATAGATTTACAAGATTTGATGGAAATAGCTTTTTAGTCTTGGCACACGGCATGAAGACCCGATCGATTTCGAAGTAGATGTGCTTCAACCTGCAGTGAATGTTCCTGCTGGGTTCACAACCAGACGGTTCAAATTGACGGGTGTTCCATTGCATGTGAGAAGCACAGACTTCGAGCAATAAATCTCTATCCAGGTGCTGGAAGAATTAACAATTTCCAACACTCGACAATCGAGGGTAGTCGAGAGAAGAAAATGAGGAGCCCAGATCGAACAAAAACTGACGAATATCGTCCACAGAGACACTGCACTCCGGCGACAATGGGGAGCGCTTTGCTTTAGGTTCAACAGTGGCCATTGTTCTTCTCTTATCGGAGAGACACTCAAAAGAGAAAACTGTTCGACAACTCTAAAATAATTCTTTGTGTACTTGAGCCTTTCCAGGCGTGTTACGTACAATACCTGACCGTGGATTCGTAAAGAAAGACCCCAAATTGGGCAAACGGGCGAAGTAGGTCCGGGCCAAACTTCCCATTTCGTCATAGCTACTCACTACATGACGTATGAAGTTTGGATTTCGTTGCGGCACTGATTTGTGCTGAGAAGGATCACGAGTTGCACACTCTGGGGGGTTATGAACTCTTGATCATAATTATAGTACATGTAGCTCCACATTATAATTATGCACGCTGCACTGGACCACAGATCTGGACCAAGGGAAGTCGTAAAACTGAACCCGTAGTTGAAGAGGTCCTGGGATCCCTGATTTGGAGCATGGATCAATGGACTGGGAGGTATTTGACATATTTTGTATGCTTCATTTCCACCTTCAAACGCAAGCATGCAAGCAGCGAACCTTCCAAAGACCCAATATGCACCACGTGCATATTCTACGATAATAAATATGGCACTTGAACTTTGAATTGGCCGAATGACTTCCTTGTGAAGTAAGTTGCAGCTTGACCTGGAATGATGGCTCAGATACAATTTTGATACCAGAAATTGAATCAAGTTTCAAGTAGTATCAAGTAATTAGTTTAGGGATGGTTATAATTATGCGGCGGCAAAAATAGGTTATCATGTGACAAGTGTATGCGGGAGAGTGGTGGAGGACTCTTGATAGCAATGGTTATCTGTGACTGTCATTGGTACAACATAGCACATACAATATCAAGTTTACAACTTACTTTGTCGCACATACTCATAACAACTTAGGCTGCGTTTACATGAGAATTTTCAACCCGGGTCGAGTTCAGCCCGGGTTGAAAGTCTGTACGATAGACAAAATATGTGAGCGTTTACATGAAGACAGTTGACCCGGGTCAAATACTGATAATAGAGAGGTTCCGCATAACGTATTTACGTTAGTAAAAAACGTAGTCGATCTACGGAAAGTCTTACGTAAACTGCATGCGCATCTGTGTTCCGCCATACGGAGTTTTCAAATCACGTAGCTGCCCTTGGCAACTCCGAACGCGGCAGTGTACGACCAGATCGACCTGGGGAGAGAGTCATAAATTTGTACCTCAATCCACTTACGGACCAGCTACGTTATCAGAGCCCTATCTACGTACTCTACGTAGATAACTTTCCGTAAGTGGAGTGCAAACTCGTGAATTCACGGGTTTTCCCCGCCCACTAACGTAAAGTTGCTCAACTTTACGTAGTGCGGAACCTCTCTACTGCCGCTAAAAGTCCACCTCTAGGGTCCTGTGTGGTCACGTAAATCCTTTTGTGCGGAATTAGCATGTGAAGTGCTATTCAAACTGGCGCGAGATGCGCACAGAGCTACGTTAGTACGATTTCTCGGGGCGAAATTTCAACCCGGGTCAAGCGCAATGCGTCATGTAAACGCGCCAGTCAATCTGTGTTCATGGCGGGTTGAAACTTGACCCAGGTTGAAACGGCTCATGTAAACACAGCCTTAGTTAGTGTACACGTTCTGGTCTCCGATCCGCTATGCACCAAGTACAAATTACATTCATAGCTACAACTTTGTGGTACGAAATCAGGGGCTTTGGAAGGCCACGGCATTCAACATTGGTGCAGCCATCATAAAGAGACGGGGTCCGGGGAACCTGTCCCATGGGAATTTTTTTGATTTTGGGGTGAAAAGCCCATTTAAAAAAAGGCGGCTTGGAGACAAGAATCCTAGGGTGTCATCGATTGGCGAATCTGGATTGAGTGCGAGTAGTTGGTGTGGTCCGAGCAACGCTAACCCAATAGAACAAAGCAAGGGTGTAGTACGTCAATGGTACGCACAACGATACTATGAAAGCTGTCAAACAACAGCAACGTCCATTTCCATTCCAGCCACTCCCAGTGTGGGGGCCGGTGTGGTCGGATTGCACTCCAAGTACACCCACTCCGGATTCGGCCGAACGATCACGCTCAGTTGGAGCGCACTTGCTCGGGATTCGCCCAATCGATCATGCGCCTACATTGTAGTAACACTAGAAAGAGTGTACACGCAGTCATACCATGACACCATGTAGAAGTCATCAATCATCACCGGGAATGGGTATGGACAATAGCACAAAAAAGTAGTATTACAATACCCAGATGTTGAGCCAATACTCCCCCAATAGTATTAATTATGTAAAGAGAATATAAGTTACTAGTTATGACTAACAGTCCACCAAGGTAACGAGATAATATACAGTCAGCTAGTGCGACAAGGCACCAAACTGACAAGAATATTGAGACATTCGACGAACTGACACCTAGCTCCAACATATCTACGAAGCGCAAACCAACAACCTTCCAACTTGGTCCATGGGCAGGTCTGCCAGCTCGGAGGTGGCCGGATAAAAGGCATTGGCGCATGCGGGTGTCATCCATGCGCACCAGGTGACCCAGCCATTCTAGCCGGCGATGGCGGAGTTTACAGATGATGCCTGCTGGTCACCTCACATACGCAATAGTTCGGCATTGCTGATGTGGGCATCTCACATCTGCTGTCTTCACACACACACACACGCACACACACACACACACACACACACACACACACACGCACACACACACACACACACACACACACACCACCACCACCACATACACACACATGCCCCCCTCCATACAGAGCGTTCTCTTCACTCTGCAAGGGATTGAACCGTTCTTCTCGGTTTCCTGCTTTTCAATCCTGTTGTTGTTGTTGTTGTTGTTGTTGTTGTTGTTGTTGCTGTTGTTGCTGTTGTTGTTGTTGTTGTTGTTGTTGTTGTTGTTGTTGTTGTTGTTGTTGTTGTTGTTGTTGTTGTTGTTGTTGTTGTTGTTGTTGTTGTTGTTGTGGTTGTTGTTGTCATTGTCACTATCGCTGTTGCTGCTGCTGTTGTTGTTTCAGATATTTATTTCTCACGATGGTCAGTGGCCAATAAGAGTTATTGTTATTGTTGTTGTTGTTTCAAAGTTCTTCAGAATTCATCAGTGACTCAGTGACTTCTGGTAGATGCGTAAAGAGACAGGATGAAGCAGATCGCTATGGCAGAAGGTAAAAGCTACAACTGGTGTCAAAGCAGCAGTAAGTCGGGCGCCAGCAAAGTGGTGTGAGCACGCGACCAAATGAAAACAAAAAGCACATTATAGGTTCACCCACTATGAACAAGAGCAAGTTTCTGTCAAAATGAATCCGTGTCCGTATTGGTTGTGGACCAGTTGGTTGTGGACTGGTTGTGTTTCTTTCAGGAATGCAAAATGCAAATATCGCGTTCAGCCTATTCAGCATTCTCCTGGTTTCCTTCCAGTTCCTTCATTTGCATGCATCCGTGCAACTGTGGTCAAGTGTTTTGAATGCTTTCCTATACGTTCATGTTCTTTGAACTGGTGTCGGATATTTCGTTTTGCTCCTTGTCTTATGGAAATTGACCTCACTTCGCCGCGAGTATCAAGTGCAAGTTGGGTCCTTTTCATTGCCGTCCGACTCCCACTACTGGTACTCGCTTTGCCGCGGTGCCCGGCTTCCAATGTTATCCTGGTCATCTTCATCCGTTCCGGCTCTTGTTTCTGCTCACCTTTCGTATGCGCGCGTATGCGCCGCTTTGCTCTTCCTTGTTTTAAAGGGGAAGTTAAGGCAAGAATTAAAATTTCACCAGTTGTAGTCTTCGGGGTGCTGAGTCGAATGGTCTTGGTCCGAGAAAGCTGAGACGCTCCCTTCCTACTTGAATCCCAATCGAACTCGCGCACTTCCACCGAAACTTGGTGACTGCGCCATACTAGATGGGGATTTGTATGCAAAATGTCACTAAAAGTGCCATTTCGTTCTTATAAAAGCACGGATGACTGCGATTGGCCCATATGTTGTAGTCTTTTGGACGCTGAGTCGACTGGGTTTGGTCCGAAAAGGCTGCGATGCAGCGTTCCTCCTTTATTCCCAATCGAACATGGTTGAACAAGTGGTCACGTGCTCCTGGGTGCCCAAATCACCTGGTCACCACGCCAGCAGCCGCAACTTTCACACCAAGGTTCAACTCGAGTTCACCTCGAGTGACAGGACTGCACCCAAAAAAGGTCAAACAGGCTAGTAAGTTGTACCCTGCAGGCACGGTGACCAGGTGACTGGTGTACGCAGGAGCACGTGACCGCTTGTTCAACCATGTTCGATTGGGAATAAAGGAGGAACGCTGCATCGCAGCCTTTTCGGACCAAAACCAGTCGACTCAGCGTCCAAAAGACTACTACATATGGGCCAATGGCGGTCATCCGTGCTTTTATAAGAACGAAATGGCGCTTTTAGTGACATTTTGCATACAAATCCCCATCTTGTAGGGCGCAGTCACCCAGTTTCGGTGGAAGTGTGCGAGTTCGATTGGGATTCAAGTAGGAAGGGAGCGTCTCAGCTTTCTCGGACCAAGACCATTCGACTCAGCACCCCGAAGACTACAACTGGTGAAATTTTAATTTTTGCCTTAACTTCCCCTTTAACCTGATCTTGATTGGGCATTGGGCCCGTTTGAGCGTGCAAAGCAGGGAGCAGTATTTTACTACTCCCTGGTGCAAAGTAACAATGCAAACCTACTGCTACCAAGCTGACACTCGATAACAGACCGCATTCTTTGTCCGCTCCTCGTTTTTACTACATGTACTCAAATATTCCCTCGTCGAATTCGCTGTCGTGTGATTGGGCGTGTAACTCGTTTGTACTTGCGAGTCCAAACGAAACGAAACATACATAATGTACATATTCCCTAGTGTTCACGCGTTCCGGCACACCCACACCCACACCCACACCGGCATACAAGTACAATCAAACACACTGTACAATGAAACGAACACATGATCGACAGCAGCGCTTACCGACTCTTGATCACAGTGTGCTGTCATGGTCAATGTCCTTTCCGAAGCAGGGGACCTTCCGGAACGTGGAGGTCGTACACGACGCGATGGTCGGATGGCGGTTTTTGTCGTCTCCAAGACCTCAGCTGGCTCAGCTTCCATAGCCACCGGCGTGGAGCAATGCTGCGGCTGCTCACCTTGCCCTGCTTGAGTCGGAAGTTGAGAGTTCGAAGACAGCGGCGTGCCTGAATCAGAGCAAGCCGCGTTCGGAAGGAGACTGCCCCCATCCTGATATTGTACAGGTCTATCGCTCGTTTCATCTCGTTCATCTTTCTCGGCCGTCGCCTCATCTACAAGTTCAGGGCAACAGCCGCTGCCAGTCTCGGATCCCTCGTCGGCTACATCCATCGTCCTTGATCTCGTGTCCAGCCCTAGTGTATCGTTGCTATGTATGCTGTCCATGTCGCCTTGATCACGTGACACAAACATTACAGATATCAAGCCACTGTCGGAAACGGACTCCTGATCTCCTCCGCATTCTCCACATTCTACATTACTGGTTGGATCTGTCAAAGGGACTCCAGCTTTACCAGTTCGGCCGCTCCAATACTTCGAGTAACTGGGATTCATTCGGGTGCGCCCGGTGCCTGCCGTCGGGATGAAGGTGGGCAGAGAATGACTTGGTCTACTGGGCTGTTCAGTTATGGGCTGTCACACAACCCCATCGCGTGTGGCTCTCTTTCAAAACTGAAATAACCTTCAGCCACTGACTCAGCAACTGAGTGTTGTTGGCAAACTGCTTTCCTAGACTATTGGGTGGCGACTCGACCTGAGAAACGCCTTCGTTCGCCTCTCAAGAGCTAACCTGATCACCTCAGTCTAGTGTGGGACTGAGTTACGATCCGACAAAAAATCATTTCAGCTTGTGAGTGCCTCGGCCCATGGATCACATAACAAAGCCGGATTTGTAACAAGACTACAAATGTACTTAGACAAATTCTTTGTACAACCCTTGGCTAGTAGATCTACGAGTACGAATGCATTCGTGATCGACCCCGTCCCGATCCTGATCCCTACCTGACCCTGTACAGCTGTGTTGGACATATTTACAACAGGTCGTACCACACAGGAGTACAGAAGTGACTCTTTCGCACCGAGGGCACCCAGATCGTTGGCGGAGGGATCTTCCTGTGTGCCCCGTAGTTGTGATTCGGGAGTTGTAAAAGCCCTATACGACAACCCCCCTGGTTGTGATTTTGTACGACGCGTTCGTTCAACCTTGGCCTATGGGCCACCGCGTACCGGTGCACCGCATGCCCCCGCATCGCACCCGTGAACCGGAGCTCCATGGTCCAGTAATAAAAAAAAGTAACAGTTGCTATCATAATGACCCGAAGCTACAATAATAAAATTTGACAATGTTGCAAGAGAGAACAACAAGCGGAACACCAGAGCTATTATAGCGCTAGAGGAGAAAGAAGAAGAAGATTGAAGATTTGCGGGTCGCGTGAGACTCGGCTGGAGATCCGCATCCGCTGGGACGCCACCACCCTCAAAGATCAGGGCGCAGAGTGCAGCTCCTAAAGCGGTGGGTCGCAGCACGGCTGGAAAAAATCCTAAGTTCCGCTTCCAGGCAGGACTTGAACCTGGTACCCTCTGTTTCTCAATCATGGTCAGCGCGAAGGAAAGGGAACAGAAAACTGGCGCAAGCTCGTATTTACATCTACCGGTAAGTGCAACCTCATTATGGCCACAAACACGTCACGGATGCGTGTAGACTACTCAGTGCTCACTGTAGTGTAGAAGGGGGAAAAGAGCAAACGAAAGGCGGCACCGAATCCAACCGGAACTCGCTTGGCCGTATGCCGGCTGCTACGATCGGGGGAGTAGACTAGTATAATCAAGAGTATTATACTCTTGGTATAATACTACTAGCAAGAGTAGATAAAGATGTTTATCTACTCTTGCTGCTACCTACTTCCTGGCTCCTATGCCGGTCTTGTCGGATCACGACCTGATGACTGCGGATGACTAGCCTGAAGACGCGACTTGCTCGTAGAAGCTGGTGGCAGACTTTCCCAGCTCACCAGTCGCCACTTCCACTGGCTGACCATGAGAAAACCAAAGCCAAACAATCAGGAAAGTGGCGTGCTGCACCACGGCTCCAGGCTGACACGTTGAGTCGCTGACCGTAATAATTATTGATATGACGACATTTCTCCTTCTCATCGCGCTGGACTGAGTCTGTCACTCTGTGACCAGGTGACGTGGCGGCGAGGATAGGAAGGTGGGCCGATTTGAGTCGAGTGTGGTGGAAAACCCGTACATCGACAAACATGTTGCATGTGCTACACATGAGTTATATGTGTTGCTTGTAATCATTATCATGCACAGTCATCTAGTGCCTTGCTATGCCATCGCATGACACTCCATCCATGTACGGCTTACCTGCACATGACACGCGTTCATGATCAACCAACCTATGTGGTCTAGCTTGTCATCGTATTGTACACATCCGGTTATGGATCCTTCTATCCTCTTCTACTGCTTCTAGCACCTTCCGTCCAGTTCTGATAATCTGGAGTGATTTGCATTTCTTTGTTCTTGTTTATGTTCCCAAGAAGTGAAGTCAGAATAGAATGCTCTCGCATGGTGGGTGGGTGTGCTCGAGATAAGTAACAAAGTTCAAGGATCGAACCTTACATGGTGTCAGAATAATGTCAACCTGCACAGCCCCGGTCCCTGACCGCTTCGACTTTTCTGCCCCGCAGAAATGGCCTCTGTGGCGAGAACGATTCTCGACCTACCGCCTTGCTACCAAGCTTCACAAGGAAGATGGTGAGGTCCAGGTAGCAGCTCTGAAATATGCGTTGGGTCCGGACGCTGAGCCTGTGTTCCTGCAGCTTCAGTTTGACGCAGACGCTGATAAGAAAGACTTCGACAAAGTGCTCAAGAAGTTTGGTGACTATTTCACCCCGAAGACGAACCTATTCCACGAGCGGATGGTGTTCGAGTGTGCAGCGCAGCATCCAGGTGAGACGGTGGAAGAGTTTCTCCGTCGTCTGCACGTGATAGCTGAGACATGCGAGTTCGACAAATCCGATCGCATTCGTGACCGTTTCGTTGCCACCTTGCTAGATGAGAAATTAGCAACGGACTTGCAGCTGACGGACAATCTGACCTTGGAAAAGGCTACAGAGAAAGCTCGTGGGTACGGGCTCGTCCGCCAGCAAGTCGCCTCACAGCGCGGCCATGCCAGTGCTACACCTGCGTCAGCCACTGTCGCTGGTGCTTCTGCTGCTCCTCGTAAGAGCACAGGATCGTTCAAGAGTAAGTCTGATGGACCTGCCGGCAGTCAGTCTCACAATCTCTGTATGTTTTGGGGTGGAAAGTCCCATACCCGCGACCGCTGTCCTGCTCGGGATGTTACCTGCCGCAGCTGCTCCAAGAAAGGCCATTACGCCCGTGTGTGTCGCTCATCCAAGAAGGGGTCACACTCATCTTCCAGGCAATCCAGTAGCTCTGGTGCACATTCTCTGGCCACACAGGACGATCCGGGTGTGACTGAGGATTGGGCCTACTTGGATTTAGATAGTATCGCATCAGGCAGTAGCCCATGGATGTGTGATCTGCTGTTGTACGGGAAGTCCGTACCGTTCAAGATTGACACTGGAGCGGATATCACTGTGATTACTCCAGCAACATACGAATCCCTCAAGTCACCACCGCCTCTGAGCTCTCCTACAACACGGTTGACAGGAGCCAATGGTGATCGCATCGACTGCAAAGGCACATTCAGCGCAACTTTGTCCAGCCCAAAGCTCAGTTCCTCGCAGCACCAGCTGGAGATTCACGTTCTGACACGGGGCAAGTCCAACCTCCTGAGTCGCGAAGCCTCACTAGCAATGGGTTTTGTGTTCAAAGGCATCTCAGAAGAGAAGCAGCCACCTCTTGGACGCACGCTGGGTGAGCCCGTCAAGATCGCTCTGAGGCCTGATGCCGTTCCGTACCAGTGCTCAACAGCTCGTCGTGTGCCGATTCCGATCCTGCCGAAGGTCAAAGCAGAGCTTGTCCGCATGGAAGCTGCCGATGTCATTACAAAGATCACAGAGCCTACGGACTGGTGCGCACCCATGGTGCCCGTTGCCAAAAAGAACGGCGACGTCCGGATCTGCGTAGATCTGCGATGTCTGAATGCTTCGGTCAGGCGCGAAACCTTCATCCTGCCCACCGTCAACGAGACGTTGGCGAAGCTGAATGGCGCAACATGCTTCACCACCCTGGATGCAGCGAAAGGTTTCTGGCAGGTGCCTCTTGATGCCGAAACAGCTAAGCTCACCACGTTCATCACGCCATTCGGACGTTACTACTTCCGTCGACTTCCGTTTGGCATAACATCGGCGCCAGAAATATTCCAGCGCAAGTTAATGCAATACTTGGATGGCCTTCCAGGGGAGTGCGTCTTCATGGACGACATCCTGGTCTTTGGCGCGACAGTCGAGGAGCACGATGCTACCTTGGAGAAGGTCCGATCAATCCTGCGCAATGTTGGTGTCGCCCTTAACCCCGACAAGGAACATGTTCGCCAATTGTCAGTTGAGTTCTTGGGCCATGTCGTCTCCGCTGATGGAGTCAGCCCCAGTCAGCAGCGCCTCGCCACTATCTCCGAGCTCCAGGCACCGGCTGATCTCCCTGCGCTACGTCGCGTGCTGGGTATATTTAATTATCTCAGCAAGTTTCTGCCGGAAATGGCCACCGCCTCTCAGCCGCTCCGATTGCTCCTCCGCGCTGACACAGTCTGGTGTTGGGATGCTCCCCAAGAAGAAGCTTTCCAACGGCTCAAACAACTCGCTAGCCAGTCTCCTTGCCTCGCATTCTACGACGTCTCTAAGCCAACTCTTCTGCGCGTTGACGCCAGTGGCTATGGTCTGGGAGCTGTTCTCCTCCAGCAGCAGTCAGCTGGCTGGCAACCTGTCGCATACGCCTCCCGATCTCTCTGCGACGCCGAGCGCAACTATGCGCAGATTGAAAAAGAATGTCTAGCCATCGTCTGGGGATGTGAGTACTTCGCCCAGTATCTCGTTGGTAGCAAGCCATTCACGGTGCATACTGACCATAAGCCCTTGGTTCCCCTGGTAAACAGCCGTGATCTAGATCGAGTGCCACTTCGTTGCCAGCGTCTGCTACTTCGACTGGCTCGTTTCGACGTCGCTGCCGAGCATGTCCCCGGCCGTGATCTCGTTGTGGCCGATGCTCTCTCTCTCTCTCGAGCACCACTACCTACCACCATCTCTACCTTGTCTGTTCTGACTGACGAGATCGCTTCTCTTGCCGATTCAGCTGGCGAAGAGTACATGTCGTCTGGATTCTCGCTTGCCCTACGAGATACCACCCAGGCTGACCGCGTCCTGCAGCAAGTTGCTAAGTTTGTTCAGTCTGGCTGGCCTGATCACAGCAAGGACGTCCCTGCTGACCTCCTCCCATACTTTGCCGCCCGCCAGCATCTCTCTGTTGCCAACGGTCGTATCTTCTATGGTGCACGTGTGGTTGTGCCTGCATCTCTGCGTGATATGGTCATCCGCAAGCTGCACACGTCTGCTCATCACGGTATCGTCAAGTGCCAGGCGCAGGCCCGCCAATCTGTCTGGTGGCCGTCCTGGAAGAATGACGTCGCTTCTGCTGTTACGCAATGTCGCACATGCTGTCAGCACCGTAGCCAACCTCCTGAACCTCTCCGACCGACTGAGTTTCCGTCACTCCCGTGGCAGCGAGTTGGTTCTGACCTATGTCAATTCGGTAACACAACATACCTGGTGGTTGTTGACTACTACAGTCTGTATCGGCTATAGCGTACCCTTTTGATTTCCGTGATTTTATCACTATAACCGATGCATCACTATAT